CATTCCTCATCAGTGAGCTTCCAGAACCCACCTGCATAGAAATCGAACTCAGGACCTTCAGTTTCACACGCGAACGCATAACCCCTAAATTACCATGTACTCACTAGTGAGTAGTTTCGTGATGAAATTTCATCGAGTTTTCTACTAGTGAGAAGTAGTTACTAGTGGAATTCATCCATGTTGAGTATCAAGCGATGCCTACCAAAGACAGTGGATGAAGTTGCACTAGATCATGAATTGATCGAAGTTACACATTGTTATCGTACTATACCGGCTCAGTAGTATAGAGATTAAGCGTTCATGTGCAAGACTGAAGGTCCTGGGTTCGATTCCTGTGGGTAGCGCGAGTTGTGGATGCCACTGTTACTGATGACTCTCATACTACGACGAGACGGCCGTCCAGCGCTTACAGGTTTCTAATAGTGGTCTAACAATTATTCGCTCACGTTTTCACTAAACCTGTACAATCTCAATCAAAACCCCATAATACAAAGTATAAACCGGTCATCTTTGTTGATCATACAGAACGATAACAATTGTAAAGCGACTGAAAGTAGCTGGCTAGCTTTCAACCACTGGCTTACATTTGAACATAATGTACGCGATGATGAGTCAATTAGACGAGACAATTAATAGCATTCGATCATAGTTAGTAAGAAGGACTTAATATACAAGGTATAGTTCAATATTCAATGAACAATTAATTGTACAATTGAGTAACATCAAAGTTTTCTCTATATTACAAAATCTTGATGTCGAAAGATTGTATGGCAGTTGAAATACAGACGTAAACAATTCATAGGGTTTTTTTTAACGAGTTAGTTTTCTACAAAATGGGGTCGCTAAACCACAGGCCTGATCCTCCTCCTTTATCTGGGCTTGAGGCTGGCAGTAACCTCAGGCTCCAGCGCCATCAACAACGAGATCCAAGTATTCATTAACATCTGTCTATCAAAGATACTTCAGATCTATTGGCCACACACCATCTACCGTGGAAGAGAATAAACCAGATTCCAGCGGAGGAAGAAATTAATAAAAAGCACTGGGAGGGGTATAGGACATCCATTACGGAAATCACAAAACTTCATCAGAAGACAAGCCCTCAACTGAAATCCTTGAAGCCAAAGGAAAGGAAGAAGATCAAAGAACACACCACGCTGAGAATAAGAAGCAGACAATATTAAAAGACTGAACATCAATTGGATAGAACTAGAATATTAAGATCCAAGACAGAGTAGCGTTGAAGGATACTAGTTGGCTTGTCTATGTGCTCTCCATTAGGTATAACAAGCGTAAGTAAAGTAAAGTAACCACTGACGTGTCTGTCTGTAGCGGGATGAAGTGCTTCAATTGATTTTCGTCAATATATGCTAGAAATGTGCATATAAGTTGAAATAAACAGACTTACATTCAGTAAAACAACAAAACTTACATAAGGTGAACGTTCACAGAATGAGAGAAATTGCATTAACATTTTCGTATGATAAATAGTTGGATGAATTACAGGTGACGGATCGATCCAATGACGATTTAAATCTTTACCAGCTATTGAACATCGATGACTTAATCGACAGAAAACAAAAGGGAGTAAAGAGAATAGAATGTGTATCTGTTAGAATACTCATCCAATATCCTAAGAGAATTATTGGTCAATTTCTATTGGTTCATTCCTACTTGGTCAATTTTATGGTCGTCCTAGTAGATATCAATGTCATGTACTCCAATGTTGTTTCTTATTAGTTGTCCTGACTATCAATGTCACTTCAAATGCTGTTTCCTATTTGACCAAAATGTTTAAATACGCATTATGTGTAACTTTTTATAACCAGGACAAGGACCCGGTCTCGGATCCCTAGTCCGGTATCTTGATTCTCTTCCGGACTCGGACCTTGTACTTCCTGGATACTTGTAGAATACAGGTTTTACTTCAGATTCAAGTCTTCTTATTTTTACTCAATATGGGGGTTGGGATAATCGGATCTGAGTAGCATGTCGTGTCGCCGGATCCTCGATCTTCGCTCTCGTTTTCCGTCTAGGTAAACTCGTAACAGTTTAATCATATCAAAATGACGTAACAGTATCTACTATTTAGACAGAATAAAAATTAAATTAATTCAACGGAGATGTGGCTAGCGACACTCTGCAGGACAGATGAACGAGAGTAATTAGTAGGACATTCTACGCAGTCAAACTTGCGTCGCTCTTCTCCAATGGACTAGCGATGTCTACTCAAACGAAGGATAAGTTACCTGAGTTGGCCTACTCTATTTGCATTTACAAATTCAGCTGCTCCTGTGGAGATAGCTATATCGGGTGTACTAACTACCGGGCAACTTAACCAACGAATGAGTGAACATCTTCCAGCATGGTTTGAGAAGGGTCAGTCAAAAACAATACGCAGTTCTATCTTAGTACACCTGGTTGAAAGTGGTCATATTGTAGATAAATCTGGATCATTTCGAATGATCTATCGTGTACTTCAATCATTTTCAAATGGAGTTCAATCCTGTCTCCTACACATAGCAGAAGCCATTGGAATTCGTACATTCAACCCCAATTTATGTGTTCAGAATAAATTCATGACACCCCTATCTCTTCCGGGACCGGATATGACTTGACCAATGCTTTAAAAATTTTTAAATTTTATCTTGTTATTATAAGCATGATTTTCACATCCTGGTATTTGTTAGTAATTTTCTGCCACTTCCCGTTTATATTCTTCTTTACTATCTAACCATGTAGACACTTCTTATTACGTAATGGTGTGAATGTTTTGTAATGATTATTTTAAGTCTATTTATCCAAGTTTCACCTACTACTACTACTCCTAATGTTGACCTATGGACTAGAACTTTTGTTATCGTATTTGATTTTTCTTATTACTACTATCAGTACACCTGTCTTCTTCCACTATCAACTTGTACTTTTACCTATTATGTGTACTTACGTAATTTATTTCATTTCATTGTGATAATTGATTCAAATTGCCTTGATCGGTGTAACATTTTCATATAAATATTCATGTATATTAGAGAGTAAATACGCTGATGACGATCTAATCGAAAACAACAATAATTGTTCGCTTATATCTGTGTTGTTCTAATTTTCACAATGGGATTCTTTAATCTTCTATTTATTCCTTCATTACTCTAGTTGTGAATCACAATTTCGAATCATGATTTCAATGACACTCAATGATGTGGAATCATAAAAGTGTGCTCACTAGTTCAACCCTGTCAAATGTGATGCAGTTACTCTTTGACGACAAAAGATGAGGTTGGTTAATAGCTTGGAAGGACTGAAGTTAACTATGAACACCGCTGGACACCGGCTCAGTTGTCTAGAGGTTAAGCGTTCACACACGACACCGGAGAACATGAGTCTGCTTTGCGCGTGCGAAGGTCAAGGACATGCACTTCTACTGACAAGTCCCATACTAGAACGAAACGAACCCCGTCCAGTGCTTCCAGGTTTCTAATAGTGGTGGTTTAACATTGATTGATCGATTGGTGATTTCAATGAAACTTATGACTAAGCTAGGTACACATTGATTAATCCATCAACTGTGTTGCTGTATGCCCAAACATTTCAAATAATATTACTTTGTGAGTTTTCTTTGGTCATTCTTTAGTCATCATTGAATTAAACACAACAAGGAAGTGATCTGTTTCTTATCTTCATCTTCTGATTAGACGCGAGGGGGGGTTAGAAGGTGCTCAATAATCTATAGGCATTAAGATTTTAGCCGTTACTCACAGTTGTCCGTATCGATTGGTAAATGGATCACTGGTTCTTCTGAGAATATAAGCGAATATGTTGGAACTACAGTGAGTGATTATACAACTGCTTTACTATGATTACAGCTCTGTTACATGGGTTTCAATACAACGCATGTAATCTACTAATCACGCTGCCAAATCACAGGCGACATCAGTAATCATGTTAAACTGTTCCTAAAAGTATTTTATGTCCTCGAAATATTTCGATTTTGTCTTCTCTTAAATTCCTCACCAACATTATCTTATTCTCGTTTTTTAAATTGATTCCATTGAGATATAAATTCTCGAATTCCATCTTTGAACCTTAATCTCTTCCATTACCGCTAATGTGGATACAACCTCATCTACTATTAGATGACAATTTGATCTCTGTGTGCTAATGTGGTAGGGCGACTTGAACTGATATATGTATGCACCAAGTTCTACGTACTAGCTGACTAACACTTTCGCTTTCTAGATGTGTCACAGTTGTTTTTCGATACACTGTGACACCTATGGGTTTATGTATTCAATCAAATGAATTTTCTCAAGTTAAATCAAACAGAGGTGATAAATTAGCCGCTTCCGATTGATAGTGATCTCTTGTGCATCAGGTCAGTTAGTTAGTTGTAAACTCAAAACAATCACAGTTAATCGAATTGATAGCGCACACTTTTTTATAAATGAAAGTCAACTTAATTCAAAGTTGTCATGAACACAAGAAACAACAATCAGAAAACTGCACTACTCACTTTCCAACAATAACACCATCAGGATTTAACATTGGTATAATTTTAAAAATAAACATTTTACGTAATTCATTGATTTTCTCGTCATTACACGAGAGAAGTTGATCAAGTAAACCTTTGATTATCCAACTAGAATTCGATTCACCGGGATGTACACGACATGTAAGCATAATGTAAGGACGTTGATTTATACTAGTTGAGTCTTCTAAGTTAGATACAAAAAAAAAGTTCGTAAATAATGACAAAGTATACAATAAATACAAATAAATCCGCCTGGAGCCTTTCTGGGGTTACTGTCGATCCTGTTAGCCCGGATAAGGGAGAAGGGTTGGGCTTGGCGTTGGCGAACTCATCTAATAGAAAACCAACCTGCTAAAAAACTCTAACCAGAAACGATAATTCAAAACATGTGAACTCGTGCATTGGCAGTTGGAAGGTCTACATTCTGAAGAGTTACGACATGTCATAATGAAAGTCGAGTTTCTTCGGAAGTCATGAGGTCGATGTCTCCTCTGATAACCAGAGTAACCATTAATACAGGTACAGGGAACGTTTGTACAGTGTAGGAGATCGCAAGAGTCAAGATCATATTTTGCTGAGTATTCGAAGCAGACATGAAAGTAATGAATAGCAATCTGGTAAAAGTGAAAAGGAGAGTGGGGGACAGAGTAGGTTGGTGAATGCTGTTCGGCGACCTATGCTCCATTAGAGGCAAAAGGCTTAAATATGAATCAATAAAAATATAGTTTACATCGCAAAATGAATTTATGTTGGGTTCGTTACTAGGTATGCTTGAAGCTAATTACGGGTTCACCTTAGTTGATAAACGCGAACGAGACAATCAACCAGCGTCCAGGTAGGCTAACTTGAATCCCAAACTGTAAACTAGAAGTCTTGGTAAGCGTAGAAAGTATATTCTACAAACTACCAGCAATCACAATACAATCAAGCACACAACTCTCGTTTATTTACACATCATAGAAACATCATTGGGACAGTCACAAAAATACCACACTAAAATACACAGCAACCAATCACAGCCATGGATTTTCCAGGTAGGAAATGAAATCTCAAGGTCAATCGATCAGCGCATGTTCGCAAACAGGAAATCCAAAATTAGGGCATTTATCAAGCGAGATTTGGAGATCTAACGTCCCCAACAGTTTAGTTAGATAATCTCATTTAAAATCATGAAGCACTGAACGACTGTTTGCACTTAATAGCGGACTCCTTAAGTGACAATGAGTAGTACTCTTAATTTTAGAATCTTCAGTTCTAATAATGTGAGCTTATTAACCTATAAATACCACTTGGTTAGCATTTATTGGTTTTCGCTAGTCACGTCAAACTATGCACAATATTGTGCAATTATTTTTTATGTCTTCAGTAGTGAAAAATTTTGACAAATGACAATCCTTGACAATCTAACAAGAAATCGTAACCAATAGAGTGCAACACACTGTCATATATGGAAAGTGGTTACTTAGAAAATACTTTCACCATTGGATGTCAGTCAGATCTATGGTCTCACATTCACAGTGTGAGGCATAAAAGTCTCTGATTCTTAACTCGGTGGGATCGTCAAATACTTACTGCCGATTTGGACTGCTTTCATAGAATGAAACTCTTGTTCAGTATTGCCTGACTTAGTTTAAAAGTATGGTTTTCTCTCACAAACTCATTTCAAATTGATAACTACACTTACCTGAAGAATCTGGAAGTTGAGTGATTGTCATTAAAGGCACTGGATTCGATAGTATAGTGGTAGTTAATTGTTGAATACGAAAATAAATATTATTTGGATAAGTTAACAATTGACTGCGCCATTTATTCAAATCACTTAATAAACGTGTATACGTATAAGGATAATGATAGGCAAGATAACAAACATCACCGGTATATGGAAAACATATAGTGAATGTAGCTGTATAGTATGTTCCATTATCTATATTAGCTTGAACAAAAAAAAACACAACGAGAATGAGGATAAAATTATATATATATGGAGGGTAAGTGCTGTTAAAAATTTTTGAGGATGATAATTTGTAATCTTAAAATTTAGCGGAAGATGTACATGTTTACTATACGCTTGTCCAGTAAATCAGTGAGTCACTCTGTCAGCTACTGAGTAGAACTTTGTACATGCTTCAGTTCAAGATGCTGAACCAACCACATTAGCACGAAGATGCAACTGTCAATTCAAACCCCAGAGTTATAGAGATAGTAGAAGGTATTAGTGGTAATGGAGAAGATTAGGATTTGAAGATGTTATTCAAGGAGTATAATCCAGTGAAATAAATTTAAAAAATGAGAAAGATAAAGTTGATGAGGAATAAAGAAGAGATTAGAATTTGAGAGAACACAAAGAGTGGATGCATCTGCGCCATTGCAAACGATTTCCAGACATGTCATCCAAAATCTCTAACCATCGATTACTATTGTCTTGTGGACCGCGGCCTGGTTGTCTATGCCTACCAACACGGCTTAGTCCAGTTGTCACTGAATTAATAGATGTGTGTCATGTTTTGGTCTGGCCGCACTTAGCTTTCTTCCAGCCTACCCCTACATCGTTCATTGAAGCAGTAGGTGGATGGGCATGTCCCAGAAGCATAAATTGATAAACATTCACCACTTCATTAAGTTGTAGTGAAGGAGAACACAGGTGAGGGCAGCCGAATGTATTTAACGAAAATTACAGAGTTACTCAGTAAAATAGGAAAACCATATCGTAACCGTTAATTTGCAAATCTTCAATCCATCATCAATCCATTGTCTGACAGCTCAGTATTCATGTGTTTCATACAAATTCCATTATGTTCCCACTCTTCCTTTCTTGATCTTCCCCCATCTTCTGCTGCCAGACATTACGTTTACACTCACGTCATATACTACTTATAAGTAGCGCGCACCACAAAGTGACCTGCAATCCTTACCTAGTACCCGCTTCCTAACAGCAGCATTGCTTACTCGAGGGTCCCAGATATGCTTATACAACCATCACTGAGAGAGATAAAATTGGGACATGCCTACGAAGCCATAGATGTCAAATGAAGTAGTATATATATATATCATTGATGTATATCAATCCATCCTTCTGACCTAGACTAGAATAAATAGGTTGAGACCTGGAGTGAATGTTTAGTGAACTCCATCTATTAGTTTATGCCCTGTTTATTGTCTTGTATTCAAAAGACTTTACAGTTGTTTGAAAATATGCTTTCTGTTATGCCTTCAGTTTGACTTATTTAAACATGTAGCTGCTACCAGAATAACTGGCAAAAATTGAATTCACCGACAGAAGTTCATTGTATAGGGTCAGTATGATCAGCAAAATACTACGTCTGAACAACTTGATCATCATCAACTACAACACAAATGAATTAGGTTAGACAAAATGAAAAAATTAAGTTTACATTGTGTAAAACTACTAATTCGGAGTTTATTTCATAGCAAAAAATACAATTGAACATAAATTTTTGGTGGCTTCTTGATGTTGAATTTTTTTACTCGATCATAAGATTATGAATCTATGATTAGATTGTGTTTCAACACTTCACCTTCTTAGACAGCAAAAATGACAGGCAGTTAGACGCAACATATATACAAAAACAATTGAGATCCCGCCTAAATAAAAAGATGGTATTGCTTTTAAACTCATCCAGGAGCTAAATGAGGATTATGAATCATGTATCTCGGACTTCATTCGTTTATTTACTCCTAGGAATGAAATATAAAGCTGATCCAACTAATTGGAATTATAGATATGCTATTGAATCTGTTTGTTTCTCACAAAGCTGTTCTTCTGCTTCTCATGTGTGATTACTACTTCAGATGCTTTGAATACTAATTCCATATTGTTCTAATGAACGGTATCCGAGACATTTGAATGAGACATATCCTCTTCCCCTCCCCTTAAACTGACTACTTAAACAAGAATGAAAGCGAGTTTATTTGACTGCCGAATAATATACGTAACTAGATCATGTAAAATCATTCTACTGCCCTATTAAAATTGAATTTATTTTTCGACCAATAATATGCATCCGTCCTCAAGGACAATTTCAAGGACTACCAAATAACCTTCTCATCTAGCTACTTCTAATTGGCTCTCGAAAACAAGAATATATACACATATTTATACTTACATTTACGAGCTGACTGTCGAATAAAATGATTTTTATAATAAATAATATTTGAACCAACACGTCGCCAGCATGGATTAGATTTAAGTGATTCTTGAACTGAGAAAAGAAGTGGTTGCATACCTAGACAATTGAACATTGTGAGAGAAAAATAATAGTAATTTTATGAAGTGTTTCTTTAAATGAAGAATGTTTTATTAAAAATAAAGTAATAATAATTTATTTTGGTTTGTTATCAAAGTAAAAGTGTGTTGATTAATTTCAAGTTAGCTATGCTGTAAATTTAACGTGGTGAAATAAAATTTCATGTTAAAAGTATGCAGTACACGAATCGAGAATGTAACTTTTGAACTTTTGCGTAATAGCTAAAAAATGTATAACAAACAGCTCCAATTTCCCAAGTGAAGGCTTGTTTTGTGACACAGTTGGGTACTTTCCTCGATGTGTGTACAATTTAATTTCGTTAATGTTTCCTAATTTCTTTCCCAACTGGAATCTGGTTTGTTCTCTCCTACAGTAGGTTGTTTCTGATAGTGTCTGGCCAGCCGATTCGAAGTATTCTGCGTATCTTACGGATGATGGCTATCGTGGTTTTTCAAGTTCCCGACCAATACCATAAGACTGTGTCGACGTTCGCTTAGAAAATTCTCACTTTGGTGTTAATTGATAGTTGTTTTGAGTTACAAATATTCTTTAGTTGTAGAAATACTACGTGTGAATTGCCAATCTATATCTTCACATCCGCATCAGATCCACCTAACTCATCAGTGATGCTGTCTAGGTTTCTACATCCTTCAAAGCTTCCCCTTCAAGAGTGATTTGGTTGGTGCATGTTGTGTTGTATCAGACGACCTTGATTTATTCTGTGTATATGCTAAGACTTGGTCATCTTCTGCTGAATTTATCGTTGCATGCGGGATAGAAAGCTATGTCATCCGCGAAGTCTATATCGTCCAGCTTCCCTTTAGACGCTGACATCTTCATAATCCAACCAACCATCAGGAGAAAGAGAAAGGGTGGGAGTATGCATACTTACTTGACATCATTCACCACTCGGGACGAGTCCGTGAACTGTTCTCCGTGCACGATATTGATATTTAATCCATCATATGAATCCTGTATGATGTCCACTACTTTATAAGTCAGCAGTTAGTATATACATTTCTATATTACTCAAAATGTTTCGAATGATAGCAAATATAATAGTTTTAAATGTATCATTAGATTATAACTCTGGTCTTGTTGATTACATATGGTAAGCAAATTGACAATAACCCTAAATCCTTACTTGAAACCCTTAAACAAATCAAAACTTGGCGGTACCACATTGTATTGACATGCTAATCAGATGATGGATGATGCTTCGATTTCTGTTCGAAACAGTTTAAGGACTCTTGAAAATCTTTTTAGGTTTATGAAAAACGAGGTCAAGAGGAAGGGAATTAATTCTCTATCTTTGACGATAAATTTATCAGACTTTTATCGATTTACAGAAAGAATAATCTTTAGAGGACTTAGTGAAAAGTTGTTTTTTTTTCTACGCTGAAATACCCCTTAACTATCAATTTACAATATTTGTTTCTCGACTGGTCAAGAACTGGTGGAGATTACATTGTGGTTGTTTTAAACTCCTCCTTACCATTATATACTCTTATCAATTTGTGTCTAGTTGTTTTAAACACAACATTATATTGGTATATTTTACTGTCGAAAAGTTGTTAATTTATTTTAAGCAACCATATGTTGATCACAAGATAACTGCGTCAATGTTTAGATTGATAAAGTGCAAATCGGTGGATGTACATATATATATATATATATATATATATATATATATATATATATATATATATATATATATATATATATATATATATATAAATGTATACACCGTGTGCATGTAGTCAGACATGAAAAGTGTTTATCTCTATAAACTATGTACATAAAGAAAAAACAAACATGAATATAGCCTATGATAAATTTTATCACAATAGAAAAGTTTCTTCGGACATTGTAGCTAAAAAAATAAAAATAAATCTGGAACAGTGTGGAAATTATTTTCAATAAATTTGTTTCATGTTCTACAGTCAAATAACTCCGCCAGTAGAACCTTCGGGGCTACTGCCGGTCCCAAGCCCGGATAAAGGAGGAGGGTTGGACATGGGGGGTTAGCGACCCCGTTCCATCGAAATCTAACTTGCCAAAAAAACGCTAACCAAAAAAATAATCCAAGCCATTTTAACTCTGCCCTGGGAGTTGAAAGAAGAATTATGATGTCGCGTGATTAAAGCCGAGTTCCCTCGGAAGTCACGGGGCCGATGCCTCTTCTGACAACAAGAGCAACCATTCTTTTAGGTACATGGAACGTTCGTACATTGTGGGAGACTGGAAGACTATTTCAAGTTGCGGCAGAAATGAAAAGATACAACCTCGAGGTGCTTCGGCATCAGTGAAACACATTGGACACAGGTAGGACAACTGAGACTAAGCTTCAGGGGAACTGCTATTATACTCTGGTCATGAAGAGGAAAATGCTTCACATACACAAGGAGTTGCACTGATGCTGTCCAAACATGCACAAAAGGCACTAATAGGATGGGAATCTCATGGACCCAGAATCATTAAAGCATCCTTCAAAACAAAGAAAGAGGACATTACAATGAACGTCATCCAATGTTATGCATCTACCAATGACTACAATGACGACGTTAAAGATCAATTCTACGAAAATCTGCAGTCAATCGTCGAGAAATGTTCACCGAATGATTTGATGATTTTTATGGGAGAACTAAATGCAAAAGTGGGCATAGACAACACTGGATATGAAGACATCATGGGACGACATGGACTGGGAGAAAGGAACGAAAACGGTGAGAGATTTGCAAGCCTATGTGCCTTCAACAAACTGGTCATCAGCGGCACAATATTCCCACATAAACGCAAACACAAAGCTACATGGATTTCACCGGATCACACTACTCACAATCAAATAGACCATATCTGTATCAATAAAATTTCAGAAGGACGATCGAGGACGTGAGAATCAATAGAGGAGCTGACATAGCCTCAGATCACCAATTGCTGGTCGCCAAAATGAAACTAAAACAGTCATTAAAGCTAAATACTTCGGATCCGCTAGCCGGATACCATTAGCAACAACCTACTGTAGGAGAGAACAAACTAGCATCCAGCTGAGAAGCACTGGAACTGGACAGGACAGACATTGAGGAAATCACACAATTACGTTACAAAATAAGCCCTCACATGGAATCCTCATGGCCACAGGGAAAGAGGAAGACCAATGAACAACACATTACGCCGAGAACCGGAAGCAGACATGAAACGAATGAACAGCGATTGGATAGAATTAGGAAATTAAGATCCAGGACTCAGTACATTGGAGAGTACTGGACGGCGACCTACGCTTCACTAAGGATAAGAAGTATACATCAATCATTCAATCAATCAATCAATCGATTAACCAATCGATCGATCTCTCAAGTTCATATTAAAGGGATTTAACGTAAATCCCTGTTTGAATTTAGTAAAAAAAAAAAGCCAAAACGCAAACTTTTTGCATGAATATATTAAAAAAGTAGTAATCTAGGGATTAAGCGAAGGGGCAGGGACTTTGACACAAAAACGTATTACATAAAAAAACTTACCTGCATTAAATTGACTATTGACTTTTTCACAATTAATTATGTTAAAACGATATGAAATATTCGATTGCATATTAGTGACACGAAAATAAAACCATTGTGAATAAGATGTGGCATTTAGATCAGGATTCAAAATTAAATCATATTCATATTGTCGAATCTTTAATGCAAACAAGAAAAATTACGGTAGTAAGAACGTATTTTCGTTGAAAAAAATTGTTTTAAAATAAAATAAAATAATATATTTGTTGAAATTATGAATTGATTATTGTTAGATCAATAAATACCATTAAAAATCTGCAAGGAGTAGATGGCCTTCTCGTCCTAGTATGGAACTGATCAGTGATGGTAGTGCGCATTCACAACTCTAGCTATTCGCAGGATTCGAAATTCCGGGTTCGATCCCAGACGGTGTGTTTTGGATGCTTACACCAAAGGGAATTTTCATAGAAAGGACAATGTTGTTGCTTAAAATTTCAATTATTGTCTAATTTGGATCAGTTCATGATGTAAGTAGTGTCTTTTGATCAGGAATTTATGAGTTTATTCCCAATTCTTTCTAAAGTTTTACGTAGAAAAAAACAAATCATGAAGAGCTTTTAGTGTCCCACGATCTGACTCCAGTTTGATTGAATGAGTAAATATACTCCCCTTCAGTTTGCATAAGCCATGCTGAGGTGAATCCCGTTTGTGAGACAGCGGTAATAAGAAGCCAAATACAGGTTCAATTGGATAAGTTTCTGTTCCAAGCAATCATTCATGCAGACAGATATGCTAATAAAAAGCACATAAGCAGAGAAAAATGAAATGGAGAGGTCGGGCGAGCCAACTTAATGCGACAAGGCATGGCTAAGTATTTGTAGTCAGACAAAAAGAGGCCAGAAGTGTAACAGTTGAAGCAAGTAATGTGCACATATGCACTCGAATAAAAATAATGGACAAGATCAAAGGACGTGTGAACAGTAACTCGAGGCAGGAAAGGTTGTCTTGATACGGACGTTAGATCCCCATATCTTGCTAGATAAATGCCCTAATTTTGGATTTCGTGTTTGTGAACATGCGCTGATCAGTTGACCTTAAGATTTCATTTCCTACCTGGAAAATCCATGGCTGTGATTGGTTGCTGTGTATTTTAGCGTGCTATTTTTGTGACTGTCCCAATGATGTTTCTATGATGTATAAATAAACGAGAGTTGTGTGCTTGATTGTATTGTGATTGCTGTGTGTTTGTAGAATATTTTTTCTACGCTTACCAAGACTTCTGGTTTACAGTTTGGGATTCAAGGTAGCCTACCTGGACGCTGGTTGATTGTCTCGTTCGCATTTATCGACTAATGTGAACACGTAACAGTTTCAAGTATACTTAGTGACGAACCTAACAGGCTAAAGCCTGGGACAAGCCACACAGACTCCACATTTTCGTACACACACTACAACCTATTATAATAACTGACATGTGGAAGATTGGCCGATTTATATTAGATTCTACAGCATCTTGGGATTCGAACTAGTGATTCGATCTATTTTTCGAATTCTTGGAAAGTTTGAATAAAAATTAAATTGAACTAAGGTTAGCTTGATTTAATAATGATGAATGTGAATTTTAAAATGTGCAACAAAATGACAAGATTTTATATCTTTCAAGTGAATGATCAGTTGTTCAAAAAAAAAAACCCAACGAGTTGATTAAAACAACTGTCTTTTTTAAAAGTGTTCAGTAATTTATTTGTCAGCGGAATAGTTTGGTTTTTTTTTCAACTATATAAAACAAAATCTATCTTATTTAACTAAAAGCATTTGTTTGTACATTTCATAGTTTTATAATGCAAAAAAACAAACAGTAAATGTCAGTGAGGTATTTTGAAAGTAGTAAATTATCACTATTTTTTTTCTCTTACAGAGATCCGATAAATTTATTGATCAGAGAGGATTATAGTTTTCCCACCCTCTTCTCTCTAAACATTTGGAAAAAATTTTCAAAATCAGTTATTTTGTATTATAGGCTTGAGGAGGCTGTTGAAATGCATTTGAAATCATGAACTGATCAATGTTAGACCACGCCGTTTCAGCCTGTAGTATGGGACTCATCAGTGGTAGTGTACAGCAACAACTCTGAATGCGAGACATTGAACTTAGGGTATTTAATCGTTTCTTCCGGATATGGGAGTCATCAGCACTGTGCATCCACAACTCCCACTCACGGCGATCGAACCCAAGAACTTCGGTCTTGCGCCCTAACGCTTAACCTCTAGATTCATTGAACTGATATGCAACTGCTTGACACTTGAAAAGGGTTGAACTCGATTGGTCATGATTTCTCACTAGAACTCGGAGAAGCTTCCTTGAGGAGTTAGTCACTAGTGAACACAAATGATAACTTTTATTATAAGGTTGTCAAAATTGTTGAGTTTCATTGAAATCATGAATAGATCAATGTTAGACCACGAAGGCTGTAATTAAAATCTATAAATTTGGAGAAAATGCCGTTTTTTATAAAATATTTACACTAAATCTTCAAACATCCATTTGAAATAGAAACAAGTTTTGACTATCTTATCTTATAGCTATTCTGATTTTCAATATATTCTGATCGCATCATTCAGTGTGATCTTCAGACACTTTTCTCTGGTATCAACTTCTAAGTGACACTTCGCAGCATGCTACTTAAATGTGAGTAGTATCCACCATACAAGTAGCCATTACTTAATTCACTCATCCAGACAGAATCTTTGGAAATTTACTTTAAAAAGTCAAACTGAAAAAAGTCTTCATGAAAGGCATACAAGAATTCAGGTGAGAAAAAAAATTGGCTTACTTGAATAGCTTTACGTAGATTACCACATTCAAAACGTGATTCAAAATCCAGATGATTTTTTTCCGCGTCAAATCGACCAATTCTTAGGTAAACCGAAATAAAAACGAGCACATGACCCAATATTAAGTTGAATGTTATCATTATTCATAAATCAGTTAACACAAGCATATTTTAAAACGGGTAACCGTTTCCAATAAAATGGTATACTATGACAACCATGATATATTGCGGCCAATAAGAAATCGGCCAAATGAAGAGTGAACATGATTGGTTGAGAAATGGTCTGTCATCTCTGCGGGTATGGTACAAGACGCATCCAGCTTAAATCATAAATTACCTTCTCATACTTAGGGTTTTTGTTCAAGTAGTCAGTTGAGTTCATGTATTGTAAGATTAAGTTACTTATGTATTTACATAAGCCTGTTGACCCTTAATGGGGCATAAGCCACCGACCATCATTTTCCAACCTACTCTCTGTTATGGGCCTTGTTTTACAATTCTATCTATTTGCTGTTCATTCTTTTCATGTCTTCTTCCAATTCTAAGCATGATGTATTCTTAACTCTCCTGCTCTACTACAATGTACGAATATTCTATGTACCCATATTAATGGTTGCCCTGCCTGTCAGAATACATATTGATCTCGTGATTTCCGGAAAAACTGGGCTTTCATCATGAAGACCTTCCAACTGACAGTGCAGACTTTAAATGGTTTGAATTATTGTTTCTGGTTAGAGTTTTTTTAGCAAGTTGGTTTTCTGAGGGATGGGGTCGCTAACCAAGGGTATAATGAGCTAATAGTAGAGACAAGGTTCAAAGACAGGTGAATAACTCGAGATGAACAGACTTATTACACTGTCCAAAGCGTGAGATAAATTCATCCAACCGAATATGCATTTGGCTCCTTATTACCACCGTTGCACACACGGGGTTCCCCTTAATGTGATATACAGAAACTGAAGGGGAGATTTATTTCATAGCCTATTTAATTGTTCACAAATATTGGAGCCAGATCGTGACTCACCAGAAGTAGTGAACCCTACTTCGAATTCCATGCAAACACGAAAACTCAATCAAATAAATCTGTGAAAAGTGAAACCTGATTATTTGTTCGATCGCATCAATATAAACAACTGTGATAATCTAGAGAGTGATAAACTAGTTTTTCAATTGCCAGATAGTTGAAAGCAATCGCCAGTGAAATCTTGCTAAACCTAAATTTTGCGTAAGTTATCATTCGCATCAAATAGGGGGTGCCCTTGATCCTAAGGAAACAAGTAGTTGAGATGGTGGGGAAAATTTGTAGCTAATGTGGATGATTGTGGTGGAGTTTCGTTCTCTGAGCTGGATGTTTCGGTTGTGGAGCTTTCATCATTGATCTTCTGAATAACATTATCAGCACAAACTATTCCAATTTCTCCCCGTTTGACACGTGGTTTATTCTGTTAACCTCGATCTTAATTGGTTGTTACTGACCTTAAACCTCCTGTTGTTTGCACCTTCATTTTGATTGTACCCCTCTTTTGATCTGTTTCTCGATCCTATGTCTGTTCGCCTATGGATTTTCGGATTGGTTGATAAATTTGATCAATGTCGATTGCTGATTGACCTGAGTGAGAAGCTTCTAAAAATTCTCTAGTGTATGCCCAGTCTTTCAAAGTTGTTCCAATCGAATTTAAGTCAGTAGTTTTCTGTGTGTTTTGATATAAGGGAAGAAATGTCATGGGGTTTGACTGCTTGTTGATGTTGACGCAGACGAAGCTGAAGAGAATGTCCACTTTGTCGTATGTGGTGTTTTTCACAGTCTGGATAGTTTATTTTTTAAATGTTATTTGGATTTTCTTCTTTTGTCATTTTGTCCTTCGGTCTACATAGAGGACTGATTGGAGTGGTTTTGTCGGTTTGTGAGCTACACCCATTCCAAATGGCCCCCGCAGTTTTGCTGTATGCTAAGATATGTCTTTTATGTAAAGTAGGATGATCCGTTTATTGGTTCCTGTACTTGATTTCGCTTTTATTGACGATTTCATTCGATGTTTTTTGATGAAGTTGTGTGAGTAGCTGTTCTTTTGGAAGATAGTCATCAGATGCTTTTCTTTGTCTTTTAGTGCTTCATATGTGCTGCAGTGTGTCTTCGCTCTCTTGAATAAAGTTTGTACGCAGTTGATTTTGTATTGGGTTGTGGTTTATTGCTACTGTAGTTGAGAATTAGATCTGTATGGAGTGACTTCCAAACTACATGAGTCTCCAATTTTCCTGTGTCAGTTCTAGTGATTAGTACATCCAGGAATGATAGTTTGTTGCATGATTCCTTTTCCATTTTGAATCTTATGTCATTGAAGATGTTGTTGATCCGATTGTGTAGGTCCTCCAGCTCGTTCCTTCAAATGAGGATGAATGTGTCATCTACATAGCGAATCCACATTTTTTGCTTGATCAACGGTAAAATCTATGCTTCTAATCTCTGCATCACGTTGTTAAGCATAAATCATTGAGTTCTAGGAGACTTCGACTCTGACGTTTCGTATACTTTTGGAGATTTGTGTCGTTGGTTAGGAGCAGAGACAGAGTTTCGCTAGTTAAGCTCGGTTCTATTAAGGTGAATAAGGTTGTTACGTCGACAACGCTGAATCGATCATATAATTTGACTTAAACAGCCTTATTCATCTCAATCGAAACAAGCTTAGTGGAAGAAAGTCTATCCTTGCTCCTCACCAACAACACAAATCTCCCAAAGTATATGCGACTTCCGAGTCAAAGTCTACTAGAACTCATCAATGTTTAGATGAACAATGAAAGCCCCACAGCCGAAAAATCCAGCTGAGAGTATGAAACTCCAGCACAAACAATTAGTTGCATTGTAATCTGATCGACAAAATTTGATGAACACTAAATGACTAGACACACAAGATATCAGTCAATACTTAGAGTAGTAATCAACCATTAGTAAAAAATCAAAACAGTTGGTTGAAATTTTACTCATCTCATTGAAAGATCATTATTCTTGCCACAAAATGATAAACCAATGTAATTTATCAAATCACAAACATTGACAATTGAATACATTCATGTCAATGATCACAATGTCACACAACTTACAATAATTCATCTTGATTTGATAAATTCACATTATTGAATAAGAATGCTGACGATTCAAAGGAACAAGATGGCGATGAATGAACATCCTCTTGGTGTTGATCATGATGATTGATCATTTTTGTGCTGAATAATAAATTATTATCATTTTCAACATTAAGCTTATTGTCTAAATCCAAAGAAGTTGGAAATGTCAATAATTTAGTGGATGTCATAAATAATTCTGGCATTGTTTGATTAATATTAGAATCAGAAAAATTATTTAATAAATAATATTGATTTTGAGATGGTTCTTCCGTAGATTGTTGTTGTTGTGGTTGTTGATGATGATGATCGAATGGTTGTAATGACATGGAACGGTATTTTCTACTTTGTTCATTGTATTCTTGTAATTTCTGATGAATTAATTGATCTAAATCATAGACAACACGATTGATTAATTCATTTGGTTGAATGAAACGTTTTATATCGGCTAGAATTTCAATATAAGGAAAATCAGTTAGATGATTTGGTGGTATACGATTAGGTCGACATTGATGATGATGATGAGGAGGAGGATGAGGATGACGACGATAACGATGATGCGTTGATTGAGATGTTTTGTTAACATTGTCTGTTTGTACAATGGATGATGGTTTTGAATGATTGGTGTCGTTTGTAGCTGCAAAAAAAATGAAACATTACAAATGGTTAATACGTTTGGCAAGTTGATCTCGTGTACCGTTACGAAGTATGGAGGTGGATATCACTTCCCGGCTGCCCACATAGTGGAAGAGTGTTTCTTGAAGTACCTAAAAAAGGAAATCGGATTAGTGTTGGTCTTAGCGACCTGAGAGCGTGACTGCATAGCCCAAAAGATAAATGCTAGAGGACGGTCACTGGAAGCCTTTTTATGGGAGGTTTTTATCGAGTTAGCTCCATTCTTCAAAAGGCCTTACCAGCAGAGACGAAGATCTACAGGCTAAGGTGAGGTGTGAAATTCTAGGGTCGACCTATTCTAATTCATTCCTTTCTTGTGAGAAGGCAGCAGCGCTGCAGATACTGGTTATGTGAGAAAACAGCTTAGTTTTGTCACAACCCTATACAATCAGTAGTACTACTTCACCCGCAGACCTTGATTAGCTGTTCTTAGTCTCACCGTTCTTCAATCGACCTGCCTAGAATGGTAGAACCTAGAGGAACATATGTTCATGACAATATAGCTCGATTCGGTCATCACGATGCGCGAACCCAACCACCACATCAAGGTAGCATCTGCGATTGAGACTACTTTTGGTACTAGACCGAGTAGAACCACCTCTCCTCAGATTGCTAAATTAAGGCCACTATTACATACTCGAGTTATTATTCACACATCAACTTGACCTTGCCAATCAATTGCTTAAAATCCTGGGTTGCTTTTACTTGAGCACTTGTGAGCATTACTTACTTCACTTATCACATGTTCAGCCTAATTTTATCTGACTATCCTGCCTCATCGCATCAAGTTGGTTCAATCGCCTTCTTCACTTCGTTTCGCTCTGCTTGTATGCTTGTCATTGTCATGAACGATTGCTTGAAATAAACTTATCTAACTGAATCCATATTTGGCTTCTTATTACCCCCATTGCACAAACGGAGTTCGCCTAAGAATGTGAAGGAAAGATTTAATTCATGACGGGCTACTAAACCCTTGAAACTTAATCTAAACTTCCAAAATGAAATTCTAATCATAACCCCTGGCGTAAATCTTTACAGGTTTCCTGTAGAAAACATTCATTCATTACAGCATTAGAACTCTAAATTATTAACCCCAAAATTCAACCTCACGGTGGAAATCAACGGTTTTTTAATGTTCAATTCGCATTCCCGTAAACCAACAATCAAAGTAAAAATCGATACTTTCATTAAACTGAACGTGTGAATAGATAAGCTAACAAAACATACACGCAGCCGTTTGAGATTTTGACAAATGAACAAACTCATTATGATGATGATCATCATCATGAACATCATTAGGAGTTGGTGTAGGTTGTGATGATGACGACCGTGACGAAGGAGGAGAAGGAGACGATGGAGATGTTGGAGACGTTGAAGAAGAAGAAGAAGACGAAGAAGAAGAAGAATTGTACGGATTCGATTGTTGATTAAAATAGTTTTCAATTAATTCATTTGTTGCATAATACGGTTCACAATCCAACGATCCATGGGCATTGATTAAATCTGGATAGGCAATCATTTCGAATGGTGATAAACTTTTGATTTTTTGCATAAAATATACATATTCTGAGTTAGTGGTAGTAGCAGTAGTAGCAGTAGTATTCTTATTTTGCATAAAATTATCATTCTTCTGATTAGTTGAATGAAGAGATTTTTGATTTTCACTCGGTACATGATCTGTGATAAGAAAATGTTTTAAAAGAATAATTTTTATTGGCATAGACATTGGTAAACAGTTGATAAAACGAAAAGTAAACAATTTTATGATAAGAATTATAACTTATGTATATGTGGATTACATAAGAACGTTACTGAAGTAAGTGTAAAAGATATATAGACTAGTGAAAAATGTGATCAATAGAACTGAACATTATAGAGTTATGAAGATTGTTGTTTATGAGTGGAATTATGAATCAACCACTGTTAGAAACCTGGAAGCACTAGAAAAACCGTTTCGTCCTGGTATGGGATTCATCAGCAGTGCAATCTTCATAACTCTATAATGAAAAATCGTACAATGTGCTCACTAGTGACTTGCTTAGTGAGCGAATTCTTGGAGTTCTAGTGATAAGACGTGACCAGTATAGCTCAGTCCTGTCGAGTGTAGGCAGTAACTATCGAAGAAAATGTGTGAGGTTCAGCAAATTCCTTAGATTGATCCGAGTTGGATGCCAGCTCAGTGTTTCCAGAGGTTAAACGTTCGCGTACAAAATCGAAGGTCCCCGGTTCGAATCCTGCAGGTAGCAGGAATCGTGGATGCTCACTGCCACTGATGAGTCTCATGTCAGGGCGAAACTATCGTCCAGTGCTTCTAGGTTTCAAATGTTGGTTTAACAATGATTTATTCATGATATATATACTCCTTTTATCATAAGAGTTCAACTAACCCATAAATCATTACCATCAGACATGCCCAATCTAGAACCTGGGCATAACTGTACATCGGTTCAAGGTGACACACAATGTAAGCGCAATCAGATAAATTACAAGACAACAAACTGACAACAAAGTATTAGGTATAAATTATATGATATGAAATAAAAGTGTATGAGATAATTTTGAAACTTAGGATTTAAGGTAAGATAATAAGTGTATGCGGATGAACTGTCACTAACAATTTTGAACTAATACATGCAATGCCTCCATCCCATTAGTTATACTATAATCATGTAGTAGACCTCAAACTGGAAAGTCTTTATGAACTGATATCATTGATATCCCGTAACTTTTTGTAGTAGGTGCCTACACTGGCTGAAATCTTTCAAAAATGTATATCTGCTGTTGAGAAATGGTAAACTGGACTGAAATAAATGTTAATTACTCCGTTATATCTAAGATTTCTTTAGTTTTCTTCAATTGTTTAAGGAATCCGTTCTTACTTAAAATTCACATTCGCCTGTAGCTCTTCTAGGGCGGAGGTGACTACCGGTGCCAAGCCCAGATAAAGTAGGAGGGTTGGGGACATGGAGTTGACAACTCCATTTCGTAGAAAATCAACTCAATAAAACACTAACGCTAACGAGGAAAAATAATTCACACCAATCGACTCGATTACATAACTAAATAAATTCAATTTATATAAGATTAATAAACTCAAAACAACTTACATTCATAAGGCCAATTGACAGAGTTCATATCTAATGGTCTTTCAACTTGTTCTTTTATCAATCTATTAGGCATTTCCTGTTTAAAATATATACAAAGTTAGTAATTATAATAAGGGGGGGAGGATTTTTTGTAAAAAAAACATTATGTAAGTTATTGAATGTGTACTAAAAAATAATGCGGTCGAATATTAAAATCCTGTATCAACTTTTGAGCGATGATTAAAAGGTAGTGGACAGGAAGCTCCGTTGTCAGTCAGTCAGTCAGTCAGTTAGCGGTAACGTAGAAATTTGTTCGCAAGTACATTAGTTCAAGATGCCATACTACATTAGTAATAGAGGTAGTAGAAGTATCAGAGAAGTAACAGAGAAAATTCGCGCCCGAAGATATTATTCAAAAAGTATAATCAAGTGAAATACACTTAAAAAGAGAAAGATAAAGGTAATGAGGAATTCAGAAGATTAGGATATGAAAGAACACAACGAGTAGATGCACATGCACCAATGCAAACGATTTTGAGCCATGTCACTTAAGGTCTCTAACCATCGATTACTGTCATCTCGAGGACCCCAACCAGGTAGTCTATATATACCAACGTGCCTAAGTCCAGCTATCAGTGACTTCATGGATTTCTGTGGTGTTTTGGTTTGGCCGTCCCTAGCTTTTTTTTACTCCACTCCTTCATCAGACAGTCGGTGGTTAGGCATACATAACACATGTCCCAACCACCTCATTGATGAAGTTTTAACACTTAATCTATTGATCTGCCATCCTTACCTACAACCCGTTTCCTAAAGACAGCATTGCTTACTCGGATGTCCCATGATGCACAAGCAATGCTTCGAAGACGCCTATGATCGTAAACCAATAATCTACGAATATCCTCTATTTTTATTGGCCAGCCATAAAGTAGGACGGAGCGAACCACTGCACAGTACACTCGTCCTTCAGTCAGCAAATAGATATCTCGCCTACGCCATAAGCGACACAGGTTGGCAAAAGCCAGTTGTTTTTGTATTCATGCTGAGATTTCATCACATTGCAGACCATCAGAACTGATGAGACTCCCAAGATAAGTGAAGCGATCGATACCCTCAACTACTTTACTTCTTATCACTAGTACAGGTACTGATACAAGCCAATCTTGAAGCAACCTTTTGCATTTCGACAGGGAGAATCGCATGCCTAACATGATTGCATTGTTTCTTAGGGTAGTCAGGAGACATTGCATGTTGTCAGCGTCTTCACCAAGTAGAACTATGTCATCGGCATATTCTAAGTCAACAAGCAAGTGTCCTGGTAAAAGGTCTACTCCTTAAAATTCAGACAAAGATAATGTTATATCTAGAAGCATGTCTTGATAAAATTAAACAAGAATGGAGAGCGGACATCCCTGACGGACATCACTTGAAGTAACTAATTCCGATAACAGTTTGCCATAAGCTCTCACTCGACCAGTAGTGTTCGAGTAGAGAGCTTGATTTGGGTATGTAAGTAAAGTAAGATTTCTAGTCACACATCATAATGTAATTGATAGATTTGTTAGTTTGGCACTAGGAAGGACTAAACAAATATAACATTAGTCGCCACCCCAATGACAGACCTTTTGTAATGATCCACACTCTGAAGGATTTCATTTAAAAAAAAGTCAAACGGTTGAAGATATCCTCTAATGATGGAAAGTGATTTGTGAATATGTGCATAATGGAATGAATTTTATTTTGTTCATTTTCTTTTTTAAAATATGAATCATTATAAATTCAGATGCATAGAAATACAATTCTAGCCAATCAGGTAGTTAATGCTTTAATGATTCAACTAATCCGCTTTTTATCTTTGCCTTTTGATTGGTCACTACTAGGTTAGAAGGAGCTAGGCAACCAATAAGGGTTAAGGTCGTGGTTATTGTTTATTGGAGGATGTGTTAATTAATAGACAGTCAATCCTACTGGAAATATAAGTGAACTGATCAATAGGTTGGGATTAAGGTTGATGAATTTAGCTTGTGATAGAGATTAACATCTCCAGACATAACAGTGGGTAGTAATTTAAAATGACAGTCTAGATTTCAACAAGAAGTATAAAAGTAGTTGAGCACCAAGTTAATGTAACATATGAAAGAGGAAGAATTAAATATGTGAAAATCTCAACTATGGAAATTTAAGTCGAACGTTTCACTAAACAGTCTGGTCAAAGGTTTTTCAAAAACATCGAATCTAAACACATAGTTCATCGGTAGTTTTATACTAAACAAGCGATCCAGTCATGTTAACTGAAACTGAGGATAAAATTAGGAAAAACCTCTGGAGATGAATAGGATATAAATTCAAGGAAGCACCTAATCGTATCATGATGCAAGCCTTAACTTGGAGTTCACATGGCCAACGGAAAAGAGAAAGACTAAGGAACATATTGGAAGCAGATATGAACTGAATGAACTGGAAATGAAGGCTCAGGACAAGATCAGTTAGAGAACGGTGGTTGGTGGCCTATGCTCCATTAGGGGTAAAAAGCATATGTAAGTAATGTTGAAAGTGAGGTTTATTGAGATGAGAATGAGAAATTTAATTTGAAACTTGAAGAAGATTGAAATGTATTTTATAAGTTGATCTGATGAGAGAAAAAATTCAATAACTGGCGAGTGAAGTTGATCCATGTCAGGTATGAAGTAATTCCCACCGAACACAATAGGTGAGGTTGTGCAAGACCATGAATTGATCAAAGTTAGGCATTAACAACGCTAGATGCCGGTTTAGTGGTCGAGAGGTTATGCGTTCGTGAGTGAGACCAAAGCTCTTGGGTTCGATTCCCGCGAGCGGAGGTCATGGTTACGCACCACTGACGAATCCAACATTAGGTACAAACGACCATCCACTGATTTCAGGTTTTTAGTGGTGATCTAACATTGATCGATTCATGACTTTAAAATAAATCATGTTTAAGTTTTTGAATTGCTACTGATTCGCCAAATTGAGTCAACTCTGCAATTTTTTTTTGTCTGTTGAAGATTTTATAACACTAGAAAATGTTGACGATGTGTCCGATATCAATTAGCTGCCAGTCTATTACATTATTGAGAGTCTTTGCATCTTTCAGTCTCAAATTCTTAGCAATTTTTAACTGAAAATTACAACATGTACTCTTTTTTCTCTATTCTTCTAATGTGCTATGCTTTGGTACTTACATGTAGTCTGGTAAATGCAGTTAACAGGTACTGCGAAAAAAAACAATACCTTATCGATCAATAACATTTACAAACTGTTCAGAATTAGATCTTCCACTGTTTTACACGTGAGGATTCTAGAATATTCTCTCAGTATCGACCAGCTCTGATTGGATACAAAAGAGCCAAGCGAGCGCGTACAGCAACGCAATCATCATGCAATCAATCAATCAATCCAATCTATATCACACTAACACCCCAACTTGATCAGATTACTTACTTTTTATGATAGAAAGAGTTTAAGTTCACTGCATGAAAAAGAAACTTTTTTTTACAAGAAAAAATAAGAAGTACAAAAATCACTTACACTATGTATATCAAACCATTCAGGAAAAAATTTCAAATGACTTGAAATCAATTCATTCAATGTGCATTGTTGTTGACTTGTAGTTGCGAACTCATCATTATTCTGTTCAATAGATGATTGATTATCTTTATGATATAGTTCATGGCCTTCATCTTTGACTTCTTCAACATTGTTGTCATCGTGACCTTCACCAGCAGCAGCAACAGCATTCCTAGTGTTCTTTTCAATTATTCCTGATGTCGATGACGACGTCGATGATGTTGATGATGAGGGTGAAGGTAGTGATGATGATGATGACGACGATGATGATGATGATGATGATGATGAGGTTGGATGTGACAATTTGATTAATTGAAATAAATTCAGTTGATCATTTGGTATTGGTGTTGTTGTTTCCGTCGGTGTATTTGTACACTTACTATGCCGACGTTTTCTTTTCTTACTAAAACTAACACGTCGTTTCTTCTTTTTCTTCTTCTTTTTCTTATCTGATTTTGGTGTCATTTGTGTAAGACAAGATTTATTCATTAATAATGATGTATCTTGGCTGTTTAATAATTCTGTATCAGTAGTGAATTGATTTGAAGAGACTACTAATTCATTGAGATTTTTGACAGATGAAGATGAATTTAATTGGAATGTATCCACTGTCACATCATTAGGTTTTTTGTACATTTGATTGATATCATTGCCAGCTAAGAATAAATCTGCGATTGATTTATGACGATGATGTGATGTTCTTAATTTTAGATGATTGATTTTATGAGGTAAATTTTCAGACTGGAAGTAGGGGTCATTTACATAAAAAACAAAGAAGTGAAATTTTCGATGAAAAAAAATTTGAAAATCGGTGGTATATACATGATTTATGTGATGAAGTCATGAATTAAACAATGTTAGACTACCTTTAGAAACCTGTAATACGTGACCTGTGCAGTTCAGCCGTGTTCTAGTGTGAACTAGTAGTCATCGAAGACAGTTTCTGAGGTGAATTGATCAAAGTGAGATCTTAAAACACCATAGGATGCTGATTAAGTGGTCTGAACTGAAGGCCCTGGGTTCGAGTCCTAAGAAGGGGGATGCACACCACTGATGAGCCCCATGCCTGGACAAAACAAATATGCCACACTTCCAGGTTTCCAGTAATGGTCTAATATTGATCGATTCACGATTTCAAAGTAAGACCAATGTTACACATTTGAAACCATGAATCGATCAATGTTAGATCGCGATTAAAAACCTGGTAGCACTGAATGACGGCCGTTTCGTCGTGGTATTGGACTCATCAGCAATGCGCATTCACGACTCCTGCTCCCCGCAGGATTCGAACCCAGTACCTTCGATCTGGTGGGCGAACGCCTAACCTCTGGACCATTGAGCCGGCAACTGACTGTGTAATTGTCTAACTTCGATCAATTCACGGAGTTGCGCAACCTCATACACAGTCTTCGGTAGTTACTGTCTACACCCGAATAGGTTAAACTTCACTGGACACGACTTCCCACTAGAACTAGGAGAGTCCCATACTAGGACGAAACGGCCGTCATTTAGTGCTTCCAGGTTTCTAATGGTGGTCTAACACTGATCGACTTATTGGTTTCAAATGTGTAACTTAACAATCTTCACCACCCCGTAATGTAAAATCAGCGTGTTATACAAATGTTCCAATTGTATTTCACCAACCAAGAATCAAATCAACTGAAGAACGAATAATAATTTAGGGGAAAATAAAAATAATTAAAACTGTAATTTACAAAAACTTACAAATGATGCTCTAAAAATGCTTGAATTCACTGGATTGAATTTCGGAGTGATTTGTTCTGTGATAACACTTGTTATTGACTGTTTTAAATCACTAGTTGATTTCTTTCGATAAATCATCGAATTTCTATTACGATTATCATCGTTATCATCGTGGTCGTCATCGTCATTATTGTTATTATTATTATTGTAATGATGTAACAGTTGCAGTTGGTAATCCTCCTGTGATGATGCAACAATAGCGTATGGATTATGCAAGCTAAAATGTATTGGATGAATTTGTTCGGATAGACGTTTACGATTAGCGTTAAATTTGATTGTATCATTTAGATGATTAGTGAGTGAAGATTTATGATGTGGGAGTGAAACTCTGCGTGATGACCTTGAGAAAAGTGGATGAATTAAAACAAAAAAATTTCGGAAAATTATGGAAGAATGGGAAGAGATATATATATATATATAAAGGGATAGAGAAATTGGATGTGTGTGTGTCGGTACAATGATACAATTGTATGGAAAATCGTAGTAAGATGTACTTTCTCTTACATTCATTTATTTATTTAGTAAAATGAAAAAAAATTTAATTAATCGTTAAATTATTTTAAAGAAAGAAATCAAATGTAAAAAAAAATGTACGTGAATATGATTAATTTTCAAGTAAATAAATAAATGTGATTGTATTTCACTGGGATTATAAACTGAATCCTAAGTTAGATTGAGATACGTTGGATGGTTGTTTTGTATTTGTGTAACGCTGTTTCGACATAGATTCGAAGCTAGGAATTGAACCCAGGATCTTTTATTTGGTGTGCATGTATGCTTAATGTTTTAAACCACTGAATCGGAAGTTGAATAGTCTTGAAAAATCTCCTTTACCAAAAACATTATCCTATGCTCATTATTGATCGATCTCTAGATGTGTTTTCTCGGAATTTTAGTAAGAGCTTGTGAGTAGTGCCGTTCATAACTATGTCACAGTTACGAACCAGTTATCCACTGTAGTCAGTATGCGATATTTATATTACAGAATATCATTGAGTGCAGTTTTATTGGTTTAGAGGCAAAGAAGCGGTACGCCAGTTTGAAGATTCTTGGCTCAATACATTTGCACCGGTAGTTCCCCACTGTGACATTTTCGGACTTCAGTTGAATAGTCTCTTTGGCATGCGTGTATATCTTGTACGAGTTACCTCCATGTTGCCTTTTAGGTTATAGGCATTATTAATGGAGGTCAATGGCAGTCGTAAACATCAAACGAAAGATTCAAACAATCAGTATATGAACGAAGATGAATTTTTTTTGGTGAAGTTGCATTATTGAAATTTTTCGGTAGTTGACATTAAATAATCACTCAAATTGATTGTCATTTAGTTTGGAAAACAAATACTTTTGTTTTCTTTCAATGAATGGTATCGATTTAAGACAATGAGAAGAATGCTAAAATTATATTTCAGTAGTTAGGGGTAGTTTTACAATGATTTTTAAGAGAACCAGACAATGTCCAGGTGTTCACACTACAACCTGATCAGTACGGTTTACTTCTGTGAGGCAACCCCACACAGGTGCCGGATACCCTGATAGACCATTCGCACCATTTAGATACACCAATACACATATATTGATTATTTCCGATCCATGATCGCGTCAATCAATATGCACAGTATGAATTGGCCAATTTGACCCATCCCGCTTACCTGACTGTCAAATTCATTATTACTAGCAATGGTGGTGTGCATTACAGAGTCCCCCAGTGACAATGGCCTCCGGTAATGTTGCAAGAAAACCAGTAGTATCAATGAAATCGGTCACTCTGCAAACCGAATTTGTATATGGACTATAAGCAAGACTTGCCATAGTGATGTCCAACCAACTACAATGTTCATCATAAACCTCTCGTTTAATAGTAAACTTTCACTATCTCTACCACTATGGGATTTAAATCGACAATCGCGCCTCTGTGCTACTTTGGCATGGCAACCTGAACTGATGTACGTACGTACGAGGTTCTACGTTGTATCTGACTGACTGACTGACTGAGTAAACCTTCAGCTCTATATAACAATATAGATTATGGTTTATACATCCTATGGCATAGGGTAATAAGAAATGCAGCCCAACTCGACGCGAATCAACTCAGACATTATCAGTACCCATTGTCTCATATCGGGACACGTTTTTATTGCATTGTCGAAATTCTCGTTTTTTCGACCATACAAAACCTGAGTTAGGGGTAGTAGCCCTGAAACTGTATGTAAAGTGTATGATCGAAACAAGAATTTTGAAACATTTCAGCTGATCACCGTTGAACCATCCATAATTCCTTTGAATTAGGAAGGAAATTGAGAACTGTGGTCAGTCAATCAGTCAGTCAGTTACAACGTAGAACTTCGTACGTACGTATGTACATCAATCCAAGTTACCATACCACATTAGCACAGAGACTCAATTGTCAATCCAAATTTCATAGTAGTAGAGGAGGTAGTATAACTATTAGCAGTAATCAAAAGGATTATTGATCGAATATACATCATTTGAGATGTACACCCCAGAAGCACACGAAACCGAATTGGAGCTATGATCAAAAAATTACAGGTGAAATATAGCCTCATTGAAATCTCTGCCTTAAATGAAAAGTAAGCAGTCATATCAAAGAGTTCAGTGTTTTCACGACTTTAATAGCGATCTAATAAAGACCAGTTCTTAGTTTCAGCTGTGAACATAATGTAATCTCCATAAATCTCATATACTAGTGACAATCAATGTAATAGATAGTAACTAGTTGTCTGGGTGAAGTTCTAGCAAGAAGCCGTAACCGGTACAGTCTAGTCCAAGTCGCGTAGGAAACAGCTATCCGTCGAATACAATGGATGAAGGTTACATAAGATCATGGATTGAAGGAAGGTAGACATTAGCATCGATGAATGCTAACTCAATGGTCTACCAATTAGGTGTTAGTGCACAAGACCGATGTTACTAGGTCTGACCTCCGCAATTAGGGGTCGTGAATGTACACTGTCACTGAGGAGTCCCATACTAGGTCAAAATAAAGTCCGATGTTTTCAGGTTTTCAATGGTAGTCCAGTTAAGATTAGTTCTATCTGTAGATGAAAAACAGTATCATTTTTGTAAACATTAGGCGAATCTATAAGAATATTTCATGGTTAGTTGATTTGAACGAGAGGTGCTATAGTTAACATAACAACTGAACTCCATTGAATTACTGTTGATTTGAATAAACAAAGTCTGAGTAATCTTAAACTAATTTAATTGACAATTGAATTATTTTTGTCAATCAAACATGTAAATAAGAATCATTAAAACAATTAAATGCTTCTTCAATTAGACAATAAAATGTTCAATGTTACTGATAAATCTTGATTTATATTCAATAGTTCAATATTTTAAGTTATCATGACTTATTGTGGCGTTGAATAAAAGTAACCAAAAGTATCCTGAATATCGGGTATATATTTGTTGCTATTTTGAATGTATCTAAAGAGAAGTCTTTCATTTAGCACAATTTAACAGAGTTGTCAGTAAAGGTTTACGGGGATCGCATTATATATATTCACAGTTGAAAATCACAAGCTAATATTAGCGAGACCAACACTGTGAACCTGGGAGAATTGGATACGGGACTCATGAACAGTGCACAAGCAATACTTCACATGCGATAATCAAACCCAAGACCTTCGGTCTCCACTTTAACGCCTAACCTCTCTACACACCACTGAGTCGGTACCTAACACTTCGATCAGTTAAGAGATTAAACGTTTGCCTGTGAGATCGAAAATCTTGAGTTCAATTCTTACTTACGTAGTCGTGAATGAGCACCACCATTGAGGAGTCGTCTTACACAAGTATAAAACTTAAGTCCAGTACTTCTAAGTAATCATTGTTAGTCCAACATTTACCGATTCATGATTTCAATGAAATTTAACACAATTAGTTTAACCAGTCTAGAAAAAAAATCCTCACAAAAACAGTAAATGTATACTTACTTATTTTTCAAATTTGAAAGCGCTTGTTGGTTGGGTTTCGATTTAACAGCATCTTCGAATATGAATATGCGTAGAATGAAAAGAACAAATTGAAAATTATGTTGAATTTGAAAGTGAATAACCGCCCAAGTTGTTGTTAATCCATTAATAAAGTAGGAAAACATTGAAATTTTCTTGTGTAAACTACTGTGGTGTGTGCTACTTATACGAACGATATAAGTAATATAAGAAGGGACGTGAAAGAAGAACTCTCACGGTCACACTCTATTTGCACACCATCTTTGAGTCCTGACTTCCAACGCTCCAGCCTTCTTCCATTCCTGCTGTTGCTTCTTTCACTTCCTGTCGGTACTCCATTTCCTTCTTGCTTTTGCTCCATTTGCTTTCCGTTTTCCTCTAGTGACCGTGAGAGTTCTTCTTTCACGTCCCTTCTTATACTACTTATATCGTTCGCATAAGTAGCACACACCACACTACTATTCATCGTGAAACAACAAAAACATGTATTTGTTTGTACCCATCCGTTTCTTAGTTAGTCACTCAATCAGTTACAACGTAGAACTTTGTACGGACGTACATTAGTTCAAATTGCCATAACACACTCAAACAGAGACGCAATTGTCAATTCTAATCCCTTAGTAGTAGAGGGAGTAGAAATATGAGCAGTAATCGGAAAGATTAGGGTTCGTAGATATTACTCAAGAAGTGAGATAACTTTAGAAGTAGAAAGATTGTGAGGAATTCAGAAGATTATAATTTGAGAGAACAAATGAATGAATGCACCTGCACAATTGCAAACGGTATTGAGCCATGTCATTTAGGGTCTCTAACCCTCAATTACAATCATTTCGCAAGCCACAACCAGGTAGTCGACACCTACTGACATGACTTAGTCCACTTGTCAATGTTTTCATGTATTTGTGCCATGTTTTGGCTTGGCCTCCCTAGCTCACTTCCAACCTAATACTACATCGCAAAACATAACTCATCGGGGCAATTGGTGGTTGGGCATACGTAACACATGTCTAAACCACCTCAAATGATGGAGTTTCAATACTTTATCTATTGATTCGCTATCCTTACCTAGTAAACGTTTCCTAACAACTTCGTTGCTTACTCGATGGTCCCAGAATACACGAGCAACCGTTTTTAGTATTCAATGTGTACTAAGTACTATGTGTTTTTGAACAGTTTTCTGTTCACCTAGAGGATGATTACTACATATAACAGAGCATGATTTTTTACTCTGAATATTTCGTTTGCAGCTTTGTTTTGATTTAGTAAGTTGAGATATAATATAGTGAGTGGTCAGTTCATTGAATACACGTGAGTAAATAACTTTTAGGTGATCAAACTTAAAATCGCCAGTAAGAATCATGCCTACAAATACAATACTCATCTATTTCATAACCGAACAGAACACTCGAACAGACTATAACTGTAAGTTGTATTGAATATTGAAAGGAGGATGGTCAAACTCACGTATTGATTCAATTATATGATCAAAAGAAGTTTTTTCCTAGTTCTATTTTCACACAGTCAATTTAATCATTATAACAGTAGATAACTACTGTTTCCGAGTATTGACATCAACTTATTTAAATATTCGGAGCTTTCTGTTTCCTGTCATCAAAATATTTCAATATGTTACCGCTTTACTGTTTGTTTTAACACGTTAATTATATCTATTCATCTCATAATCTATTCAAGTGCATGTAACCTTTAACACCATTGAAATCAGTATACAGTATAGTATACAAATTGAACATTGATCAATTCATGGTATTGTAAGACCATCTCTCATTGTCTTCGGCGAATGGATACACTTCCTTACACACACATAAGACAATTTAAGTTTATCAGTGATGATTTCACATTGCAATTGAAGACCTTTTGCTTGTGAAGCGATTAACACTAGTGAGTTAAAGAAAGATTACATAGAAAAGTGATTCGAGAATAGATCTCTCATCTAGTAATGATTCAAAGATTGAACTGAGTGTTACTGGATAAGAGAGATAAAAAAAACAAGAAACAAAACTTGTATGATCATTTTTTGAAGAAAAATTAGACATACTGGATTTTTCTATTCTCGGTGAAGTTGGCGTATCTTTCCTAAAATGAAAACACAATTTTATTATCAGTAATCATTAATGAACCATGGAGATTGTTGAGTTTTATTGAAATCAGTAATCGTTCAATTGGAAGATCACCATTAGAATCCCGGAAGCATTGGATGGCTGTTTCCTTCTGGTATGAAACTCATCAGCATTCTGTACTCCCGACTAAGCAATCGAGAATCGAACCCAGGACCTTCAGTTTCGTGAGCGAACGATTAGCATCTTTTGACTACATAGCCGATATGCAACTGCATTTGTGTCTAATTTCAATTAATCCATGATATTACCAGAGCTCATCCATTGTCTTCGGTATATAAGTGCCTAAAGCCCGACAATGGTGAACTCCTCTAGTCAGGGCTTTTCACAAGAATTATGAGAACTGCTTCATAAAGCTACTCAATAATAAACATCTGATAATTGTTATTATAGGGTTATGAAGATTGTTGAGCTACATAGAAATCATGAACTGATAAGTGTTAAACCACAATTGAAAAACTTGAAGCACTAGACTATAGTTTCGTCCGACTTGAGGATTCATCAGTAGGGCGCTGTTGATTCACATATTAAGTTATAAATCAATGTCAAATTTTGATGAGGAATCAATTGAAAATAAACATGTACTTGCTTAAATTACGGTTAAGTTACTGGGTATCAAAAAATCAGTCATATGAACGTTCGAAACTCTGACTGGAGCCGTTCTAGGGTTTCTGCCGAAGGCAAGGCCCGATAAAGAAGGACGGGTTGGGCATGGGGGTTAGCGATCCCACCCCATAGAAATCTAACTCATTAAGGAAACGCTAACCAGAGAAATTATTCGCTAGTTGGCAGCCTATGCTCCATTCGGGGTAACAGGCTTAAGTAAGTAAGTAAGTAAGTAACGAATGAACGTTTGAAGAAAAAATCTACTAAGCTTAAATCTTCGCGTGGCCATCAACAATAGAATGAAGATAAACTCAGCATTTATCTGATGATTGGACGTAAAGACGATTTCGCTGAGTTGTTTATTGATCGCAATGAGAAGCTAATCAAAATAAGACACATCGATAGACGTATTCTGTGTGAACGTTTTAACTGAATGATAATAATACGTATGAAACTATTTGGTGCACGTCGAAACTACGGTAGAAATAAACAAACCGTTGCGAAATAAAAAGTATTAGATAGCGAGTTTTGCATTAGAAAAGCACTATTCAAAAGTTTCTGTTCACAATACTACGAGAAAACGGTGAGATTAGGTGTTTTATCAAGTTCTGCATCAAATATTTCATCTTTATATCATTAAACCAGTATTATGTGCTCAACATATGTAACTTTAATCGATTTTATGATACTGAGATACCATGGGTAACAGCTGCTTTACATGCAATACAGTTAATCTCCACTGATCATAATTCCTCGCTAGAACTCCAAGAATTGCCATTTGATGCTTTTATTATGCTCGTCACTTGCTATGCTTGAAACTATTACGGGTTCACCTTAGTTGATAAACGAGAACGAGACAATGAACCAGTGTCCGGGTAAGCTACCTTGATCCGTTGACCCGAAGGAGCTAACGAAGACATCTTGATATAGTGTAGAAAGTGTATTCTGCAAACAACCATCAAGCACCATGAATCAAGCACACAAATCACATTTATTTATGCATCATAGAAACGTCCTTGGGAGAGTCACAAATATAGCACACTAAAATACACAGCAGCCAATCACAACCAAGGATTCTCTTGGTGGGAAACGTGATCTCAAGGTCAACTGATCAGCCCATGAATAAAATCCAAAATTAAGACATTTATAAAGCGAGTTCTGGCGACCTGAAATCCCCAACAGCTTTGTGAGGTTGTATATGTGAATTACAGAAGGGATCTATTTTCGGGCAACAAAATAGATGCTCAATGCGTTTTGGCTTTCCTACAGATGCTTAGATTAGGTCAGTCAGTGATCCCATTGACATTAAGAAATTTTTATCAACCTCTACATAATGAAAAGTAAACACTTCAAAATTTGTAGAAAACGTTACGTTATCAAACAAAATGTACGTATTTTCTTTTAAACTCACTGAATCAGTGGCTCTGAATGTCGACGTAACAAGGAAGCGAATGATGAGTCTGTAAAAGAGGGAAATACAACATTTATGATTTTCATATTTTTAATATATTTTCAAAATATTTATTCAATGTTCACTTGGGAATTTTATGAGTTTATTATGATGACTAGTAAAGTGTATCATAGGATATGATAAAATAATTATTCAGTCAAACTTGTAACTCAAATAGTGAACCTGTCAGAAGTAGCTAAACGAGAAGTCAGTCAGTCAGTCAAATGCAACGTAGAACTTCGTACGGAAGCACATCAGTTCATGTTGCCATACCGCATTAGCACACAGATGTAATTTTCAATTCAAATCCAATAGTAGAGGTAGTAAAGGTAGTAGAAGTAATCGGAGAGGTTATTATTATTATTACTATTATTATTATTATTATTATTATTATTATTCAAGAAGTATCGTTCAATGAGATAAGTTTAGAAAGACAAAACTAGAGGTGTTGAAGAATCCAGAAGATCAGAATTTGAGAGAACACAAAGAATAAATGCTCCTGTGCTATCGCAAACGGTTTTCAGCCATGTCATTCAGGGTCTCTAACCATCGATTATTATCATCTCGCGGACCCCAACCAGGTAGTGGACACCTACCGACGTGACTCAATCCACTTGTCAGTGACTTCATGGATTTCTGCCATGTTTTGGTCTGGCCGCCTCTAACTTTCTTCCAACCTACTGCTAAATGAGAAGACTATTTGGTGATTGTCAGAAAATGTCGCAACGGATGAATATGCATCAGCGGTCAAGAAATTGCTTCCTTTTCTACGGAGTTGGAATATATATATACAGGTAGTCAAGTAGACTATCCAGTCTACTTTGGCCTGTTCGTTTAAATAAGTAATAACGGTAATCGAAAGGATTAGGTATCGAATATATGATTCGAGAAGCATATCGCAGTGGAATCAATTAAAAGAAGGAAAAATAGCAATGATGAGGAATTCAGAAGATAAGAATTTGAAATGGGACAAAGAATGGATGTGTCTGGGCCATTGCAAACAATTTTAAGCTGTGTCAGCTAGTTTCTAACAATCGGTTACTATTATTATGTCGGGAACAGTAACCTGGTAGTCTACAGAGACTAACGTATCTCAGTCCAGTTGTCAGTGATTTCATGGATTTGAGCCAAGTTTTGGTCTGGCCGCCCATAGCTTTCGTTCAATCCACTCCTACATCACACATTGCTAGTTGATGCAGTCGGTGGCTAGGCATACGTAATATATGTCGCAATCACCTCAACTGATGATGGTGTAGTACTCCGTCTACTGATCTGATATCCTTACCTAGCACTCGTTTCCTTACAACAGCATTGCATACTTCATTGCCCAAAGGTAAAAGAGCAATGCTACAAAGACACCGATGATCGAACACCAGTAACTTAAGACTATCCTGTACTCTCACTGGCCATGCTTCATAGGCATAAAGTATGACGAAATGAACTGCTTTACAGTAAACCCATCCCTTGATTAGCAAATCGATATCTCGCCTACGCCATAAGTGACGCAAGTTGGCAAAAACCAGCCGAACCGTTTGTATCGTCACACACCAGGAAATCAGCACTAATAAGACTTCAAAGATAAGTGAAGCGGTCAACACACTCAACTGCTTCACTCCGTATCACTAGTTCAAGTGCCGTCGCAACCCAAACTTGAATCAATATATTGCACTTCGATGGAGAAAATCGCTTCCCGAAAATGTTTGCATTGTTACTAAGGGTTGAGTCAGAAGACTCTGCATTTGGTCAGCGTAGTAGTGTTAGAGTAGAGAGCGTGCATACGGTTAATATTATGACTATATCAACAAGTCCTATATATGTATATATATCAATACAAACTATTACATAATCAACAATTAGGCCTACTTTCAGTATTCACTACTGGTAAATGACATTTCGGACAACAACGACGCAGTAATATAAATGTTTGTATTAAAATTTTGATTGGATCGATAACTTCACTGTTTTTCTGCATAGTATTCAAATCATTATCAAGATCATCAACAGTATTAGTATTAGTATTAGTAGTAGTAGTAGTAGTATCATTATTATCATTATTATTATCACCATCATGATTAGTATTAATCGAATGATTTGTATTATAATCTGAAGACATTTGATGCATCGATTTCCTTTTAGTAGCAGTAGTTGTAGTAGTAGTAGTAGTAGTACTACTACTAGTAGTAGTACTAGTAGTATCGTTTGACAAGCCTTTTTTTAATTTCCCCATTGAACGTGATCGATCGCGTGATTTTTTTTGATGAGTTGTAGATCCCTTTGGCAAAGAAAATTGTACAGATTTTTTGTGTTTTGAAATAAATTTTAACAAATTATCATTTTTTAATTGTTTCAATGAATTCGGTCCAATATAACCACAACAAATAGCATATAATGTATAAAGTCCACCGGATTTAATCAATGATTGACGTCCAGAATCTAAAAAAAAAAGTAGAAAATGTGAAACAAGATACAATGTGATATTGATAAATGGTAAGAATGCTAACTACCTACTATGGGAGAGAACACATGAAATTCCTCTAGCTGAGGAAGAAATATGGGACAAAAAACGCAGGAGGTGGATAAGACAGAAACATACTGTTACGCTTGCACGTAAACATTGACAATATGATATGCTTGGACTATAACGAGTTTACTTTAGTCGGAAAACGAGAGCGAGGATCGACGATCCGGTGACACGACAGGCTACTTAAATCCGATTATCCCAACCCGCATTGAATAAAAGAAGAAGACTTGATATGAAACAGAACCTGTATTCTAAAAACATCCAGAAAGTACGAGGTCCGAGTCCAGAAGAGAATCAGGATACCGGACTAGGGATCCGGGTCAGGGTCATAAAACGTTACAGATAATGCATATTTATACATTTAGGTCGAAAAGGAAACAGCATCGATGTATGTGACATTGACAATTAAGAGGACCAATAGGAAGCAACATTTGAAGTGACACCGATAGTCAGGACGATCATAAAATTGACCAGTAGGAACTAACCAATAGGAACTGACCAACAGTTCTCTTAGGATATTCAATGAATATTCTAACAGATACATTGTGGGAAGCACTCAATTGTATCACGAGTCAAGCGATACCTAACTTGGGATCTTCAAGGCAAGACTAAGGAACACTGCTCAGAGAATCGGAAGCAGATATCAAAGTAATGAACCACAGTTGGATAGAACTGGAAAGTTGGGTCAAGGATAGGGTAGGTTGAAAAATGTTGATTGGAGGCCTTGTACGCCATTAGGGATAACAAGCATAAGTAAGTCAAATTATTTAAAAAGATAACATCTAGAATGAAGTGTAAACTAAACAATATGATGTTGTGAAGAAAATAACATAAATAAAGATGTTTTTGACACTGATTTCTTTTATCATTTGAAAAGTTTTTCCTTAAAGAGCTATCCTAATTATAGTTAATCTTCTGTAGGACTATGAGTATGCACAGGTGATTAATCTTTGAAAATAGTGATATTTTTCTAGTCATTTCACATTGATCAAATTAAACCGATCAAATTTCATGATGATCACTGGTTTCTGGTGAAGTTCCCTACTGACAAATGTCAACTAGCATGAAACTGATATGCTCGTCAATTGATATGCTTGCATGATATCACGCGTTCACCTTACTCAGTAAACAGAACGAAGATCACTGACACAGTGACACGATAGGCTATTCTAATCCGTTTGTTCCGGCCCGGCTAACCATATCAAGAACTCTTGATGCGGTGTGGAAAGTGTGTTCTACAAGCCTCCAGAAAATACGAAATCGACAAGCACACAAATCAAGTTTATTTATACATAACAGAAACGTCCTTAGAGGAGTCACAAAAATAGTGTACTAAAATAATCCATCAACCAATGACGGTCAAGGATTTTGAGAAATTGAAAGGTAAACTGAAGGTCAACTAGGCAACTTATGCGCGAAACATAAAAAATCCTTTTCCAAGTGAGTTCTGGGGATCTAACAACTCCATAATGCACACTAGTTTCTGGTGAACTTCCCCACTGACAAATGTCAACTAGCATGAAAACTTAGTCTAGAGTATCTTGTTGACTATCTTCAAACATCATCTAACATATCAATAGTTTAGTTCATGGAAATAATAAGTCACTTAGACTAGTAGTCATACCGTTATTTGATTGTTGAAATTCTATCGACACTACACCACTTGTATAGAGAGTACCATGAAGAGACGTTCTTATCTTTAGAATTTAATATCAGAAACATACAAAATGGCATTTTTAGAGATATCCACTATGAGTTAGCAAGTTTACATATCAGAAGTACTTCATTGATCTCTTGAATGCTGTGGAAATATAGTTTGTGACCAGTGTAGTTCAACCATGCCGGCTCAGTGGTCTGAAGTTTGAGCGTTTGCTTGCGAGAACAAAGCTCCTTGGTTCAAATCTCGCTTACGAGAGCCATCGGTGCGCACGGTTCTTGAGTTCCACACTAGGAAGAGATGGCCTCCCAGTCATAACAGGTCTAACATTGACCGATTCATGATTTCAATGAAACTCAACAATCTACACAATCCTATGAAATGTAGATTATATTTAAAACTTTATCACATCGGCAAAAATCTAACAAAGAAATACCAAATCAAATTTGTTTGGACGATTTACTGGATACTAAATCTGATGTAGCAAGATGTGTGATATATTTTTAAATTGACAAGATAATATCTTCAGTTCTTTCAACTAATGCAACTGTGGTGGGTATTACTCACAACATGACTTATAAGTAGTATACACCGGAGTGTGGCACAGAAGTTACCAGTGAAAAGAAGAATGTCGAATCTGAATGCATGGCGCAACCAAACTGTTTTAAAAACATATGAAAGAGGACAGTCAGTAACCTGTTTGCTTTACAAATTGAAATCTGAGAACATTTAAGTGATAAATTACGACAGCTTTAAATTTACCACTTAATTATAAACGCCTCAAAACAATAGGATATATGGACATAAATATACCAATATATATATATATATATATATATATATATATATATATATATATATATAACTCCGCCAGGAGCCCTTCTGCGGTTACCGCCGATACTAAGCCAAGATAAAGCAGAACGGTTGGGGTAAGGGGGGTTAGCCCAGACATCCTACACACAACCAACTTGTTAAATAAACTCTAATCGAAACAAATAATTCAAATCAAATTGAAAAAAAACAAACTAGAATTTCATTTACCTATAGCTGTCAATAGTTTAAGACAATCTAATAAACTTTTTTGTAAACGAATCCAATGCCAATGTAAATCGCATCGATGTATATCAAGGAATAAATCCAATAGTGATGAAACTGCATTATTATTAATCGCAATGACAGCATTATTTTCTAAAAGAGAAATAATGAAATGAATTGTGCAATTAATGAGATCAATGCGATTGAATGATCCATAATTATGGTTGCAATTTTGTTTTTAAAAATATTATCTGAAAGACTTAACGATAGATTGAATGTCTGCATTTCTGTTTGAAATGTCTACTGTTACTTGACTCATCTTCTTGATAGTTGAAAGCACGAAATGATCACTGCAGGTCTGGAAGAACTGAGTCGGCCGTTTCGTTCAAGTTTAGGACTACTTAGTGGTTCGCATCCCCGGCTGTACTTTGGGATCAAGCACAAGACTCTAGGTCTTGCACTTGAACAACTAACCTACTAATGTACAACACAGTGAAGACCGGATGGGGGATAAAACATAGATAATTTGCAAAACACCTATACATATTCTTCAATCATCTATTCGCATGTTTGACAATCTAAATAGGCGATAATCTATGTTCTCTTGCTCCTGTTCTGGTCTAGATATCTTCTGAATACGTTTTGCTTTTGACTTCGCTTGAAGACTCTGGAAACTGCCTGGCAAGGTACCATTGCATGCCACTTGTAACCCACCTCGTGAGTAGCCTCCACCAAACTAAGACTCAGCAGCTGTTTCGTCCCTAGCGCACGTGTTAACAGAATACTAGTAAGTTCTCGATCTTTTCACTTGCGTGGCAGTTTAGAAAAGTGTTTAAGAATGATTTGTATCTGAATGGAACGATTGTAGAAAGTATAACTACTATGTAATTACTATAGTTTTTTCATAAAACCAATCTGGTACACAAACATTCATTCAAGTTGTTTAATAATATAGTGTAATGTAATTGACAATGTATATGGAATTTTGACAGACAGTTTTGTTTTATCCTCATTCATTACTGGTTTAAGTCAATCCTTTTCGTGCTTATCATAACTGTCACTATTTGGTAAATAAATAAATCTTGTTAAATTGTCAAAACCAAATATTCAATCATTTCTAAATCGATATAAAAGATTATTTAACATAGTTTGAATTCAGTGTAATAAAAGTTCTTAAATAACGTTTAATATGAACGTTATTCAAGGAGTATTGAACAATCGGTCTAGTATGCGACTTTTAGACAGTGAACATTCATGATAATATCTAGTAGAACTGTTCTTTCCTATAATTTTATACAATGTAATGAAATTGTTTAAAAAAATATATTGACAAATCTGTAACATTAAATAAACGATTCTCTTTAAACAGTTCATTTGATAAGTAGCTAACGCAAGTAGAATGAAATCGACTTTCACCATTGTGTGATGAAAATTGTTGTTTTGATTGATATCATGGTGTCGATCATTGTTAGACTACTCATCGGTTGTAGTGCGCAAGCGAGAAACGATCCCAGGACTTTCAGTATCTCGAGTGAACGTTTCACCTCAAGGTCACTGATCAGGCATCCAAAGGTGTTCAATCTAAGGTTTTGCGCCACCTCACAAAATGCTGAAGAATCCTATATTAAGACGAAACGGCCGTCCATTGCTTCCGGGTTTCTAATGGTAGTCTAACAATGATTGATTCATGATTTCAATCAAAATCGACATTAATAAATTATGAACAAAGAAAGTTATTATTCCTGTCAATCATATATACTATCAACAGTGTAATTTCAAATATGATAACTCGTCTTCGTTGCTGATTCATTCCATTTTTTCTAAATCTCATACATATGTTTATTTATTAACAGGTTAAGGTTATTATTGGCTATTGAACAAATATGTCGCAGCACACTGATTGGTCCATTTCTCAGCCAATCAGATCACGCTTCGTTAAGATCATTAATTAATTAATAAGTAATTCAAAATTACTACAAGATTACATAAATTTTCGTGTTTATTATACAAAAAACGACTTACTAAATTTTATAAGAACATGTAATGTATTCACTGCCTGGCAAAGTAAATTAATATTACGTTTTACACCGGTAGCAATCATAATAGGTTTAGATGTGATCAATGTTAGTATGGAATTCATGAAATCCGAATTATTTATTAATAAATTCAATTGTGTACTAATACCACAATGATGATTATTCGCATTATGAATCGGTTTGATCAAATCAATTTTCTCACTAGATTCATTTTGTTGATGATAATTTTTTTGACAAAAATATTCTAACAAAAATGCTTTCATCGATGACATAACAATCACTACATAGAGAACAGGATTATCAATGATCAATTCATTATCATTCAAATTGGATGATGATAACTTTTTATTGATCGGTTGATTCCCATTCACATTTAAATGATCAGTAATCATTTTCATTGGTAATATTGGTGTAGATGATGAAAGTTGATTATTTTTCACCAATGTATGTTGATATTCATTTTGTAAATTATGATTTTTTTTTAAAGAATTACGTCGATGCAGTTCAATCGATTGTAGTGATGTTCTTCGTGGCATAGGTGTTGTGACTGTTGAAGAAGCAGAAGCAGAAGACGTGATTGACGGTAATGACGGCAATGATAAAGAGGATGCAGATGATGATAATGATGATGATGAAGAGGATGATAAATTTTTCATTGTATACAATGATCGATTCAAATGCAGACCAGATAATAAACCAATTAAACGAATTAATAATTTAATTACACCATTATTACCTAATAAATATGAATTGGTTTTATTACCACCATTTTCAGTTGTATATAAACAAATCATACGTAATAGAATGCATAAATTATGTCGTATGAATGAAGTGAGTTTCGGGGCACTAACATGATATTGTTGTGTAGTTAACAATTTATTCATAGTTTCCATTGAATTTAAATTAATCGATGCATAATAATGACAATAACAATAATAATAGTAATAATAATAATAAGAAGAATTGAATGTTGATAAATTTGTTAATTGTTTAAAAAATTTCGATAATAATGTATGCGAATAAGTTACTGAAGGTGTGATTAATTTACATGCAGTTAATTTTGCAATCTAGATGCAAATAAAAAAAAATGAAATAGATTAACAGATTATAAGTGAGTTGGAAAAAAATCATTGTCAATAATATATCAATATGTATAGATGTATAACTCCATTTGGAGCACTTCAGGGGGTTACTGTTGGTCTACAGTCAGTCAGTCAATCAATCAATCGCAACGTAGAACTTTGTAAGTATGTACATCAGTTCATGTCGCCATACCACATTAGCACAGAGATATAATTGTCGATTCAAACCTCATGGTAGTAGAGGTGTGGTGCGCGCTACTTATAAGTAGTATATGACGCGAGTGTAAACCTAATGTCTGGCAGCAGAAGATGGGGGAAGATCAAGAAACGAAGAGTGGGAACACAATGGAACACAATGTATGAAACGCATGAATAGTGAAATGTCAGACAATGGATTGATGATGGATTGAAGATTCGCAGATTAACGGTTACGATACGGTTTTCCTATTTTACTGAGTAACTCTGTAATTTTCGTTAAATACAATTCGGTTGCCCTCACCTGTGATCTCCTTCACTACAGAGGCAGTAAAGGCCAGTTAGTCTGTTACAACGTAGAACTTCTTAAGTAAGTATATACATTCAAGTTGCCATACCACATTAGCACACACACACACAATTGTCAGTTCAAATCTCATAGTAGTAGAGATAGTAGAAGTATTAGCGGTAATCGGAAATTTTAGGGTTCGAAGATAATATTCCAGAAGTGTCATTCAGTGAGATAAATTTAGAAAGAGAAAGATAAAGGTGATGAGGAATTCAAAAGGTTAGAATTGGAGAGAACACAAAGAGTGGATGCACCTGCACCATCGTAAATGAGGTTTCTAACCATTGATGACTTTCGTCTCGCGGACCCTAACCAGGTAGTCTACATCTAACGACATGACTTAGTCCACTTGTCAGTGACTTCATGGATTTTTGCCATGTTTGCCGGTTCAAAGACCGGATAAAGAAGGATGATTGAGCATGGAGTTTCCGACCCCATTGATATATATATATATATATATATATATATAGTGTACTGAAAAATGGATTTAGTCGGCTCCTAACACTTAGCCAATCTGTAAAAATATAGCCACTTGGAGGTCTCACAGCATACATATCGGGGGACACAGTACTAAGTATTGGATGAAGAAAATAAATTTTAACAATACAACTATAATTAAAAACTTAATTAGATGTTAGGAATAAGATTTAAGCTTTAGGTTAAGTTTTTTTATTTAAGGTCAGGGTTTAAGGGCACGATTGTCAATTATAGATAACTTTTGGTTTGAAGAAATGTTTTTATTAGGGTCAAAAGAAGATTAAAATTTAATTTAAGAGGTTAAGAATAAAATTAAAGTTAGAATTTAGGGTTTTCATCAAGAATTGGCATTAGCTTTTAGACCAATATGTTATCTAGACATACAGAACAGAGAGTTTCGTACTGATAATATCCAAGCAATGCTATCTTAAGCCTGATTGGTTCTTCTTCAACTTATAATTATGTGGAGTTTGAAATTTTTAGGATACTGGCTTGGTGGTCATGAGGTTAGGCGTTTGTGCATAAGATCGAAGGTCCTGGGTTCGAATTCTGCGAGTAGTAGGAGTTGTGGGAGCGGACTGCTACTGATGAGTCCCATACCAGGACGAAACGGCCCTCTAGTACTTCAAGATTTCTAATGGTGGTCTAACAATGATTCATTCATGATTTCAAGGTCACATATAGGATCAAGAATTAATATGCGTACAAACAAAGCATATAAATTAAAATTAATGATAATTTTTGACAATAATTTCTAACTATAACCACGATTTCTAGAATCTATTCTCAATATTTTTAATTTTAAATATTAAACTCTATATCCTAATCGTTACTTCAGAGTGCAAAGTCATTAATATAGAAAACCGTAAAATCTAAATTCAAAACACTAACCCTAGGTTGACATTCTAATCTGTTCAAGATTAAATCTTATTTCTAACATTTTTATGATTGGTTGAAATAGGAGCTGGTTCATGATTGGTTCATTTTATTTTAGTTAGTTTAAATGAAAAGTTTAATTTTTTTATTGAGGTTTTGAGTATTTATAATAAAAGTGTTAATCATTTGGATTTCTTGAAATATACAACATAAGACGAAATCCGCCGAGTTTTGAGAAATGGAGTCAACTAGCACAAATAAAGATAATTGGAGTATTGATATTTGAAAAATCATTTGATTTGAACAACGTAGAACTCAGTACATACATAGGCATGTACTACATCAGTTCAAATTACGATTCCACACAACATTAGAACCGAGAGATGGAGTTTTAAGTTCAAATTCCTTGTAGTTTTGTAGTAGAAATAACAGCAATCGAAAAGATTAGGGATTGAAGATATGATTCGAGAAGTATAAGCCAGTGAAATCGATTTAAAAAAGGAGAAAACGGTCATGAGGAATTCAGAAGATGAGAATTTAAGAGAGTAGAAAAAAAAAGGATTCATCCACGCCATTGCAAACGATTTTGAGTCATTTCATTTAAAATCTCTAACCATCGATTACGATTGTCTCGTAGACCCTAACCAGGTAGATAGTCTACTACTACTACTGTAGTGAACGAGAACACAGGTGAGGGCAACCGAATTGTATTTAACGAAAATTACAGAGTTACTCAGTAAAATTGGAAAACCATATCGTAAACGGTTAATTTGCAAATCTTCAATCCATCATCAATCCATTGTCTGACATTTCACTATTCATGCGTTTCATACATTGTGTTCCATTGTGTTCCCACTCTTCGTTTCTTGATCTTCCCCCATCTTCTGCTGCCAGACATTACGTTTACACTCGCGTCATATACTACTTATAAGTAGCTCACACCACACTACTACTACTACTACTGCTGAAGGCACTGGTTTTCTCTAGTTAGTTATTTGAATCCTACAGTATTCAACATTGAAAAACCTTTAACGAAACTGAATGGCAAACAAAAGTATACAAAGAAATCATTTTTATTTCTAAGGTTATGATTTTTTTAGACAGAAGACAAATAAGTAGAGTAATGTAAATCTTGGATCAACAAAAACGTATCGAATAAGAAGCTAACATGAATAAATTTAGGAAAGAAATATAGTTATATAAATTGGTTTATGAAATTTTCTAAAGTGTGCGCATCCCGCGAACGACTTCTATATATCATGGCAAAAATAGATGTTTGGTTGAATAAATCAGATTGGTCGTTGGTGTAAGGCATGATGAAATCTAACAATAATAATAAACTCCTAACAGATATATTTTGAATTTCTATAATTCGTATACTGCTCGTCTTGATAACCGTTACAAGATAACGCTAAACAATGTGTCAATCATACAACGAATATGAAACGCTGATGACCTTGACGTGTGTGTAAAGACCACATTTTCACATTACGACAGGTTCTAGAACACAGACACATATACAGACGTCAGCCAATACTTGTCCTACTGTAACTTGAGGCGGCATTTGACTCTGTGGATCGTGAGGCTCTGTGGCAGTGTCTGTCATTGAAAGGTGTACCAAAGAAGTACATTAACCTTATATAAGCTACCTAATCGAACACTACAGGTAGAGTTAAAGCTTATGGCGAGCTGTCATCGGAATCATTTACCTCAAGTGGTGTGCGTCAGGAATGTTCACTTTCTCCATTATTGTTTAATTGTGTCATAGACTTGTTTCTACATAAAACATTATCTTCGTCTGAATTTTCAGGAGTAGACCTTCTATTAGGAGATTCATTGGTTGACTTAGAATATGCCAATGACATCGTTCTACTTGATGAAGACGCTGACAAAATGCAGAGTCTTCTGATTACCCTAAGCAACAATGCAAGCATAATCGGGATGTGATTTTCCCCGTAGAAACACAAAAAAATGAGTTGCACAGGCACCTGAACTAGTGATAGGGAGTGAAGCAGTTGAGCATGTTGACCGTCTCACTTATCTGGGGAGTCTCATCAGTGCTGATGGCTTGGTGAGTGACGAAATCTCAGCACAGATACAGAAGACTCGATTGGCTTTTGCCAAGTTGCGTCACCTATGGCGTAGGTGAAATATCCGTTTGCTAATCAAGGGATAGGTTTACTGTGTAGAAGTTTAATTTGTCCTTCTTTACGGTAGTGAAACATGGCCAGTAAGAGTAGATATTCGTAAGTTGCTTGATTTCGATCACAGGTGTCTCCGAAAAATTGCTTGTTTATCATGGGAAAACCGAGTAAGCAATGCTGTTGTTAGGAAACGCGTGCTAGGTAAAGATGGCAGATCAATAGATGAAGTAATGAAACTTCATTAGTTGAGGTGGTTGGGACATGTTACGTATGACTAACCACCGACTACCTAGTCGAGCTGTTTTGCGACCTAGGAATAAGTTAGAAGAAAGCTAGGGGCAGTCACACCAAAACATGGAAGAAATCCATGAACTCACTGACAAGTGGACTGATTCATGTTGGCAGTTGTCTACTACCTGTTGTAATTAATCCGCTTGGGTTCCCCCATATGGTAAGATTGACATAATTTCCGTCCGGAGTATCAGGAACAGATAATATAAATCTCTTCTAACAACGATATGAACAGCAAATGATTAACTAAACTTTGTAGTAGTTGAGTGTTTGAAGTGACATCTACTCGTTTAGAGTCTAAATGAGGATTTTCACAGGCAGGTAAACCCGATTGATAAGTCTTAAAAATGCACCAAACACGTAAATCTTGGATTATATGTCTAACCAGAATCTATCTATTGTCGTATAAATGCAATTTTTCATAGCTGTTAATAATTATTACAAAAGAAATACACAAATACTGTAGAATAGTAAAGATAAAACAATTTATTACTGACTTGAATTGTGAGCAGATTAATTGTAATGGGCATACAATTGCTCACTCTTGCTCGAATACCAAAGCGGTGATCCATTGGACCAAGACGGCAGAGTAACTAAAGTTTTGTAAGAAAAAAAACATTTTTAATACAGTATGATTATGAGTAGGATAGTTTATTATTTTGCAATTGACTCAAGATAACTTATTCACTAAATAAAAGAGAAGAATCGATATATACGATGTACAAATGATGATGGAACATCTGGAATACTTTGAAAACAAAGTGCAATATAGTACGCAAGATGTGTTGATTCATTTAGTGATTTGTCTTAAGAGTTCAGTCCAACGATCTAATTTTTCGTTTAACTACGTAGATTATTATCGTATTGTATCTACCAAAATATATGTTCACTATGAAATATAGTTGGACGAAACGATTTTGAATCCTGTTCACGTTTAAAATATATAATGCTTGGAAAAAGCTTTAGTCATAATCTTCAAACACTTACAACGCAGAACTTCGTATGTACATATGTCAGTTCAGGTTGTCAAACCACATTAACACAGACGCAATTGTCAGTTCAAACCTCATAGTGGTAGACATAGTAGAAAAATTAGCGGTTATGGAGATTAGGGTTTGAAGATATTATTCGATAAGTATAATTGAGATAACTTTAGAAAGAAAAAGATTAAAAGTATAAGGAGTTCGGAAGGTTAGAATTTGAGAGAGCACAAAGAATGAATGCACCTGCGTCATCGCAAACGATTTTGAGCCATGTCATTCAAGGTCTCTAACCATCGATTACTATCGTCTCGCGGACCCTAACCAGTCAGTCAACACCTACTAACATGGTATGTCCACTTCTCAGTGACTTCATGGATTTGTGCCATGTTTTGGTTTGGCAGCCTCTAGCTTTCTTCCAGCCTACTCCTTCACCAAAAAACATCGCTCGACGGGGCAGTCGGTAGTTGGGCATATGTAACACATGTCCCAACCACCACCACCTCAACCATCTAATATACTTAATTAGTGCGTAACTAAAAAGGAAAAACTGATGAATATCACCAGCGTGGAGTCGAAACAATATTAGAAAGATAAAAATCTGTTAATGAAAGGAAAGTGAAGTCTAAGAGTCATAGATGTATTCGAATAACAGAAGGATTTAAATAAACATAAACTCAGCAAAATAAAATGATATTGCCCTATGATTTTTAGCCTATCAAGTAATAATATAAATTTTAAGGAATAACTATAGTCGCTGCATTTTGTCATGAGTATATCAAAAGTAAAGTATACACAACATACTAAAACTCTCACCTGATGTATTTTTAACAAAAGCTCAATACTAGGGGCTTCGTCAGAAAATTCCAAGTAGAGAGATTGAAATAGAGCTCTAGTAATCCCCTTTTGTATTAACATTTCGATTCGAGACAGGAATCCTTAAAAACAGAATAACTTTGTATCATAAGGGTAACAGAAAAATTAGACATGCTATTCATGGTAAAAGCAGTGAATACACTAAGTTATTAACTAGAAGTTATCTAATTTTGAAGAATAATTTTAATCAGTCTAAGATAATGAGCATAATTAATAAATGTGCATTTTTCATAGTTATTGAGCTTCACTTTAATGCAACAATATAAACACACTCTCCAAAGAACCAAAGAGCACTGGATTCAAAGTTAAGCGAGATTAAAGGTTTATGTCTTTAAAAAGCTCAAAGCCGAATCAAACAGATCGTTAGGCGTTCATTAATTCTAAATCATCTTTGGGCAGACACAAGTAGACGTAAACCTAAGTAACTTGATTAGGGTGCATGAGCAAGTTAGTGTTACACCAAGAACTGAGAAAGCGACATGCTTTCCAATGTTTTGCTTTGTAACACAAACATAATTTACCGAAGATCATGTTAAAAATATCATTTGCAAAAAGCAATATGGTCGAAATTACAATTTCTGAGCCGGAATTTAGTACGGTGTCACAAGCAACATCGGTCTGCTTGTACAAGTAATACAAGCATGTAAAGTAAAAAAGACATCTGTACGCACACTACAACATCCCTATGGGTAATAAAAGCGGATAACTTTTGGAGTCAGAAGACAGCTGGCATTAAATCCGGCTTTTCAATGAATGTAGAAGAAATATATGAATAAGACCACTAAAAGTAGACTCAGTGCTTTGCGAAAAACTAAAGAGTCAAAAAATGTACAAATACTGAACGATTAAATAGAAAAAAGACGAATGCAAAATATTGATAATATTATCAATTCGAAATGACTACCTAATTTATAAATGACCAAAATTCTATTATGTAGATTAAAAAACAAGCTAATTTATTAAGTACGTATGTACGGGCAACGCTGCTAGTACAGAAGCTGATCATACTAAATTGTTATCTGAAGGAGAAAATAAGCTATAGTGAGGATTGTCAAATAAACCACTGTATCCAAAAAACTGTCAAAGTAACTTTATAGAAATCAATTGAAAAACGAGTTTGAAAACTACTCAAAACAGATGTTATAAATGCTCCAAAATGTTCAATAAAAACGAACAAACTTCAGCAAGTTATTTAGCTTGAAAAGGATAAATTTATTGGTCCTACCTGATTTTCCAACCAATTTGAAAATAATTGACACAATTTGTGTCCTAATGACCCTGTCATTCAGAAACTGAGAACAATTATTGGCGAAATTATTTTTAACACGATACCTGTAAAGCAAATGCAATATCACTAACAGAGGATTCGTGCTCAAGAAAAATGTCATGATAAATATCTATAATCGAAGACATTTATTAATTCCGCTCAAACTAATATGACTAACTGTTTGACAAAATGGAATTTATTTTTGTGACATTTAATCTCAAAATCTGCATATCCTCCTTCTTGCATTTGACAGCGTTAGTTTCTGTGCAGTAACTTGCAAACAAATACATATATCCTTTGAGCTCTTTCTCCATAATTATCTAAATTAATCAACAACACTTGGTTGGTAACATTTCAACATTTCGTCCCAGCTACGACCTTCGGCTACATAGAACTAAAACAAATCCAATGTGTAATAACTTTTTCACGGCCTAGTATATATCAATTGATTTTTTACGCTAGATTCTCGTTATTTCAGTATATTTCCAGTTGTATGATAGTATCCAATGGTCAGTTTGCAGTTAGTTGGGGGTTTTCATGTCCTGTGATTTGAATGAATACGTTTGTTTCAGGATACCAGGAGCTATCACATTACCAGACCAGAACTCAGTTATTTGCAGTGTGTAAAATAATAAGGAGAAGATTGCAATGCCAATAAGAACAAGATTTCAGAACTAAGTAAATAAATAAATGACTTAGTTAACCGATTGGTAATAAAGATTGTGCGAGGGGAAGTGTATGCAAGGGAGCGAAAACAATGATAATATGCGAGATCGATTAGGTTGGTTATCTGATGATATTGCAACAACAGCGACTAGTTTGTGTCAGGACATGCATCAGGCATATCTTGTCCTCGAGGGAGACGGTAATCCATATGTGATTACTTGTTTATCAAGACTTTTCTTAAAGCTGTCCACTGGTGGGGCTGTGGTCACCTCGTCTGGCAGAGCATTCCAAGTTGCAACGACTCCCAATGAGATAAAATGCGCACAAACATGAGTATTAGCTCCTTGATGAGCAAATTTGCTTCGACGGGAGTGGTGGTGATGCATCGGTAAGATGCTCGCGTTGGGATGGCTTGGCGTGCTTAATATGTTTTACGTCATAATCAGATCACATCTGATTCTCCTGTAATGAAATATCCAGTATAATTTTCATGAGCTGAAATAGACCAAGTAATTTTTTGCGCTGGACTGTTTTTCCAATGAATGGTATTCTAGTCACTCGATTGCAATAATTCTAGTCATTTGATAGTTTTTTTTCACGAATTTGTATACGCTGTGATTCGAATGAGCACGTTTGCTTTAGGGCAGTATGATTGCTGGATATCAGTAGTTTTCACGCAACCAGGTCGGAGATAAGTTAATTAAAATGTGCGGAATAATAAGATGGAAATTATAACGCCAATGAGATTTCAGAACTAAGTAAATAAACGGGTATATAGGTTAATTAATCGCTAGTGAAGATTATGTACGAGGCCTAAAGTGTCAGCATAGGTAAGGAAACAGAGATAGTAAGTCAGGTGGATTAAGTTAGTGGCCTGAGGATGTGAAAATAATAACAATTAGCATGTATCGAGACACTTTTCAAGGACTACAGGGCCAAAAATTACACTTTGGTAACCTCCCGGCTGCATTGATCGTAGTAAGTCGCATATTCCTTAAGCCAGCAACTGACAACTTGGTTGAGTATTACTCTGAACGTTTCCATACCTGATTTATTTGGCGGGTGAAGTTAGTGTTAAGACAGCCTGAATGATATCTCTCACAGTTTGCCAGTGATCATCTACCGTTAGCTTCTATCATTCCAGCGGCCATCGAATACACTCTCACGGATGTGTAGTATACCTTCGTGCAGCAAATGTAGGACTTGTTTTAATTCCTCCTGGGTATTTTGTTTACGACCATGTTAAATGTCGCTGCGCCATGGTCACTTTGTCAAACTAGTGTGTGAACGCAGATCTACTCGACTGGGATCTGACAGGTTGTTAACAAATAAGGCAATACACGCTTGCTTAATTTGTTGGAACTTCTAATGGCTTTGATAATAGAGTTTCGTAACCAATTTGCTGATATTCATGAACAGAGTATTGAAATATCCAGCTGTTTATTCAATCAAATCCATATAATATTACATTCGATGTTGCTTCTGTCAACTGCGTTTTTGAGCTTTATTAACCTAGAGAGCAAGTAAGTCCCTCTAGTCAAGTATTTTATGCCATTCATGTTGAAGCCGAACCATCGTGATTCTGTTACATCGGCTATTTGCATACCGTTTGGAGTTACGGTGTTGAAATGTCTATTAAACTACATCGCCGCAACACCTCTCGTTTTGCATAACTTGTCGCATCGGAATTTAGTTATGCCTTGCAAACTCATTACGTCCTCAGCAGAGTCGGGGATAGACGTGTTTCAGTCTGATTTATGATATCTGGGTTTATCTCTCAGCAAAAGTTCCTGATCTAATTCAAATTATGTCATAACTTTCTTAGGTGTTTGTCTCATCACCTGGCGCACCTCTGCAACAACAACCGTTATGGATTTTTAACAAGCAGTTCAAATCAAGTTGGTGAGTTCTGTGGAAACTGACAAGTGTATGCATTTTGCCTGCATACTGTATTCATTTGGAGACGCCATGATCTTCATATCCCGTACCGTGGATCGAAATCAACGCGCAATTATATGTGCTTTAGTTTGTCTCCCTGTTGTTGTCTCACAGATCAGTGTTGAATCTTGAAACATTTAATGTGACTTGAGTGATCACTCTTCGTGTTGTACCAAGATTGAAGCGCCCAGATCGGTCTTCTTGAGTTCTTCAGTTCGCAGCCATCATGGGCTGCGTGATAAAATGGACATGGTTAACGAGAGACGATTAAACATTTGGTGGTATATTGGCCTATGCCATATGATAGTTATCGTCACTGTTGCGTACCACGTTCATGAGCTCCATCGAAGCTACCAACAACCAAATAAGACGCTACGTGAACCACCATAATCGATGCGCTTTTAATGTTCTTCCTACTAGTCATGCTAACCATAGCTTGTCATGCGTGACTCAGATTATGAAGCACCGTCTGTCAGGAGGTATGAGAGATCTTAGAAGGATTTATTCGGCAGCCTGTGTCGAGTCTAAAGTTACTCGCCATGAAGAGGCTTTAGCTTTCACTACATTCTGATCCTACAGCAGACTGCAAAGTCCTACCGGAGGGATTGCCCACCCCACGTGATGCGCAGTATATTTGCCACTGTTTCTTGTCCAAATAGGCCCCGTAAAATTTAATTTGTACTACAGATGAACTTCTAGAACTGTAAACGCAATATTGTCGAGCACAGACTCTATGGGAAAGCCATAGTCAGAACAAGACCAATTTTGCTGTAAACTTTATCTGTTTCTGAACATAAAAACAATAAGATTAGTGCAATAAATAAGGAAATTACAGTTAACAAGTGAAACGATCAAACATAACGACCAATATTGCGTATCTTATGGAAATGAGTAAAATTATGAGTCAAATCAATATAATAAGATAATAATGTCCTTCAGTTAGTAGTTTAGAAATATTGATTACTCTCTCAGCTAGCTCTGAATCCAAATAAGTGTAGGTTCACACGTGTCTCGCTCAGTCCAGGTCCAAAAATGATAATTCTGGGAAACAATGTTTCTATTTTTAGTCAAAAAGGGAAATGTAGACAATTACCAAAACAATATTACACCTTCGAGTTTCTAATCACAACAATAAGTTCCGATACTAGAAGAATAAGTGCTTCCAGTTAAT